AATAAATATTAACAATTAACCATTTATTTCAAAATTAATTTTAATTTTAACAAAGAATTTTAACTTGCATATTTGTATGATCTTGATTCTCCGTAACAGGAACCCTCGTGATCCCCTGTGTGTCCCGTATGCCTTCTGAAATGGACTGTGCAGTTGACATACCACACAAGTCCTGGACTGTGTATCTCAGGGCGAGGCAACTTTTGACCCGCCGGATGTTTTGACCGGCAACTCCCATTATCCTTCACCACTGATCATGCTGGCTAAGGCTAATGGGTGTTATAGCACAAAGCATCAGGAGGGCCACAGAGTGATTGCTCTTGATGTAAGCGACAGCAGAAAAGGGCCCAGTTTTCATATCTGTTACCGCAACCTTCCTCTGCGCCATACCAAATAGGGCAGAAGAAGGAAAGTTGCTCATTTCTTTAAGAATTCTCTGTGATCAGAATTGGGAAATGCATCAAAACTTTCAAGCACGAAATGCACAAACAGACATTCTGCAGGACTTGCTCTTTGGAGTCAGAGTGGCTGGAGAATTCCAGCTATTCCAGAACGATTCTCCTTCTACAACAATGCTTGTCAGATGCATTATAAATTATGCCGCTTTCTTCCTTTCTAGCTTCATCGGAGATAGAGCTTTTGACCTCATTTAAAGTCTGACGGCTGGTATGTCAACTGTTTTGATGGTCAAGGATGCAGCCTTCGCTTGCAGGTTCTGGTAACCACTAGAAATTCCTTATCCTTCTCTACAATTATGAAAGCGCCGATCAAGGATTATCCGATGGCAACTGGGGTACCAGGACACCACACAGTTCTACTTCTCTGTTGCTGCCCCCCAATTAAGGATTCTTTAAGCAACTACTAAAATGCCCGCCCCACTGAATTCAATGAATTTACTTCCAGGTTAGCAAGTCTAGGGCTGCAGCCTAAATTACTATTTTTTTAAAGGCCTCGTCAACTAACTTTCAATGCACTTACTTAAAATGGCTTTTAGTACATTTTGAGGGAAAACCTTTCCATTTTGAGGGGAAAAAAAGAAAACCTTTCTCTTACAGAACAATTTCCTTACAAGAACAAAAAGGCTCCCATCCCATGTTAAAAGTATCTGTCTATCAAGCAGAGGTCAGAATATGGTATGTCCATCTTGAAACAACTTCCCAAAATGCTTTCCGGAAATAAACCCCAAACCAGTTTCTTTTGCACTGATTAAGCCTTGAAAAGCTCCATTTACATAGCAATCTTAAGCAGGTCTACTCAGAAGTACACCCCACTGAGAGAAGCAGGGGTGGGCTGCAGGCAGTCCTCAGCCCAGTTCGGAAGTCCTGGCATACCTGGCCCTTCCTGGCAGCTTCCTTCTGTGAGAAGAGCGGGAGGCAGAGAGGGAGGAGAGACGCGAAAAAGCAGCAACCTACCACTTTGGGCTCTAGCAAGGCCCTTTGCTCTTCCTTCTGCCCACCCAAGCGAACTTGCTGGCCCTGACAGATTATGCATGAGGGAATGCTGCTCTTGACAGAAAAGCGGCCACCCACCTCGGCATATAGGACCGCACCTTCAGTGTCCTCGCTTAGCTGGGTACGTCCTGATCACCACTCACTACCTGGGACTTCCCTAACAGTCTCCGAGCACAATCGCAACTTTTACAGCATTCCACTTTGGGCAGGAAGCAAGCACAGCTCTGATGCAAACGTTTCGAAAGAGGCTTTTTTCCCCCCAAAGCCCTTTTCTCCAAGAGGGCTCTTCTGTTCTCTCTCGGGAACTATCATCTCCATGTGCAAGCACTGGACAATCAGTACCCGCTTTCCTCTCCGCAGGAGCACCCTCGCCCGCTTGCCAAAGTGCACACTGCATTCTTTAAAGGCTGCGGTTGGAATGGGTTTTTCAAAAAGCCAGGAATCTGCTGTCCCCGCTGGAGGATTACCTGCTGTACGGACAGTCGAGGCTTTGTTAGCACTTAATTCCTCGCTCTGCGAAGAGAATCTCTCACGGAGGAAAGGCAGCTCAGGCTCCAAGCTTCAGCACACAGCATGCGGTTATCCTGACATTAAGGCCGTATGGGTAAAACAGATGGCAGAAGGAGCACATGGGAAAGACATCCAGAGACACAGAAACAGATCTGCGGCATTCCAGAGAGGAAAAGGCGACTTGGCCGGCACCCCCGGGGCACAGCGGGAGCTCTCAGGCGGGGGAGGCAAGACCCAGCCTCCTCCTGGGGCGAGGGAAGGAAAAGGGGGTATTGCCCAGGGATTCGGGGCTTCATGGAAGCACAGGGAAATGATGACCGGGATTGTAGACCCAGTGAGAGCAGGGTGGCCAGGTGCCCTCTTTTACCGAGGATGGTCCTCTACTAGAAGGGCTGCCCTGTCCAGTTTTGCCTGAAAGATAACAAATCCTAACCAATATTGTCCATCAACAGCTGACACCTGACCAGCGGACTGGAGGAGGAGACACACAAAGCTTTCCACACTATGCTGACTTTTCTTGTATGGTCAAGATTTGTATCTATAGGCATAAAGTATCACATGCATGGGTTATGCAAATTTGTGTTGTCTTTGCTGACGATGCAATTTTTAAGCGGCCACTCGAGTGATCGGGCTAAGCGGAAGGGTCTCCATGGATGCCGTGGTCCCAACTACAATCCCACCTCCACCGGCGCCCTTGCTCGCCACCCTCCTCCTCCTGCTCCACTGTCCACAGCTCTAAGCGCACTGTTGGGGTTCCATCTTAAGAGGCCGGATTCCTCACATCCGCTCCCCTGTCACGGCGGCAGTTTCATTCCACATGGGTAACAACATCCCTCATAGACATTCACTGGATTTGCTAGCCTAGGGCATCATCAACACTGAGTAAATCTTTCAAAACTTTTGAACACGTGTGTGTATTTTTCTTCTGCTACGTTGGTGGCCGTACATGTGCACACGGATGCACCCGCGCGCAATGGGGTTGCATGTTTGTGCAGCATCAACTTGGGGGCCTTTCAGGAAGTTCAAGCTCAGCTGAGCACAAGCAGGTGGTGAGTCCTGTGGGGAGGCAGCCCATATCCAATCTGAGAGCTGGCTGATTTCACGTATGTGGCTGGAGAGCACACCTGAAGCCCTCTTTCGCTAGCACAAACAGCAAGGGGTCTTGTGGCACCTTAAAGATTAACAAGTTTACTCTGGCATATTCATGGACACTGCCAGCTTTACTGCCAGCCCACAAAACTTTATGCCAGAATAGAATCAACAATAATTTAAGATGCTACAACGTTCTTTCTTGCTTTAACACAAGAGGTGTTCCTAATGCACGACTGAATTTGGCAAATTGCACATATACTCCTAGCTTTCCATTGTCACTACAGAATGATTTCAAACACAAGCCCTTTTAAGCCCACGTAGAGCACGAAGGGTTCCTGATCAATCACGATGCAGAGGTGCTTACCCCTCTCAGCTGCAATTTCTCCCTGGAATTGCTTTTGTTCAGCAAGTCCAGAAAGTAGGCGGGATCATCCTGAATTTAAACTCTTGGATGCCCTCTCCTGGATACATGAATGCAAGGCACTCCGTTCAGGCCCCCTGAAATTTGCAAATTTTCAGGGAGAACATCCACCCAGAATTATTCCTTGATTAGGCACTTGGGTGTGGGGGGAACAGACAAGCAGAAAGGAGAGTTTGGACTACAGTTCCCATATTCCCTCTCCACAGGCCATGCTGGCTGGGATTATACGATGTTTACTGCAACGCGGCCAGAAGACCCCCGTGAACAGCTTTGTGTTCAGCATTCAGTAAGTACAATATTATGCACAGTAGAAAGAAGGTGTACAGGGAGATATCTAAAGGAACGCCTGCACCCATATATGCCCGCCCGCCCCTTGAGATCAGCGGGAGAGGCCCTTCTCCAGGAACCCTCTGTGAAGGATATTAGGAGGGTGAGTACCCGGAGGAGGGCTTTCTCTGCGGTGGCGCCCCATCTATGGAATGCGCTCCCCAGAGAGGTCCACCTGGCGCCGTCGTTATTTGTTTTTCGGCGCCAGGCTAAGACCTTTTTATTTAAAACTTATTTTAATTGCTAAATTATTGAATTAATTAGGATTTTAAAATTAGCCGAGAATGCACCGGGGGTTTTTAAATGTTTTTTCTTTTAAATTGTTATATTACTATTATTTATGTATGTTTTTATGTATTCTTTGTGAGCCGCCCCGAGGCTTTGTTGCGATGGGGGCGGCATAGAAATGTTTTAAATACATAAATAAATAAATATTCCACCCCCATAATCCATGGGCATCCCATGGATTATGGGGGTGCAAGATCCAGAACTGATCGATACAACAGCGTTTAGTTAAAGTACGGAACTTACTACAACAGAAGGTAGTGATGGCCCACAATCTGGATGGCTTCAAAAGGGGATGAGATACATTTGTGGAGGGTAAGGTTATCCATGGTGGCTCTTCTTGATGGCCATGCATTTATTGTACCCTCATCATTCCTCTCTCACAGTAGCAACCAACCAGACCTGAACAATATTTGTCATCGTTAGCTTTGGTATAGCCTGAAGTGCCTGATCCTGCCCAATCTCGGAAGGTAAGCAGGATCAGGCCTGGTCGAAATCTGGATGGTGGCTTAATGCCTAGAGAGCTTCGGCTATGGGTGGAATAGAAATGCAGTGAGTAACTATTACATAATATAATTATTATAAAACACAAAAACAAACAGAAGTGCCTGAACCAAAGCAACTGACTGATTTGATCCCTTTGGCACTGTACTTACAGGATGTTAGCCTAACTCTAAACAAATGCTCTGTTGGGCTGGGTGCCAGAAATAACACTGCTCCAAGAGACCGTCACCCTTGGAAACAATGGCCCGTCCTCTTCCCAAGGGGAACGACTCTGTTGGCGTGGTTACCATACCAACCAGGTCTGGAGTGGCACCTGAGCTGGCTGTGGCGCAGCTGCTTCTTCCGTTCAGCCAGAACCGGTCCCTCGTTGCCACTGCAAATATTCTGAAGACCAGCTGATTTTTGCAAACATGAGTCTCTTTCTGTCCAGGTAAGACTGGCTCCCCCTCTCTTCCCAGAAATAACCCCTTTGCAGATCCGTTTGCGTCCTGCCTTCGGCAAGGCAGTCTCCCCCATTTGGACAGAAAGGCTGGGGCAGGAGACACACGGTTTTGGTACTCACTGGATTTGGGGGGTAATTTATCATTACTATCATTTGCATAGTGACATCTGTGATACAGAAGATGATAAACCAGAGACACCCACCTCTCTCTCCCACAAAGATTGCAATCTAAATCAAGGGTGCTGAACCTCAGGCCAGGGGCCACATCTGGCCACCTGGGTCCCAATCCTGCCTTCCAGAGTTCCCCAGAAGGCCTTTCTTCATGTGACCCCCACCCGCTTCCCTTTCCCACCAATCATTTGGTGTTTTCCCCAGTTTTAGGTGGGTCCTTTCTCCCATTCTAAAAAGTTACACTTCTCTTACAACCCAGTTACAGGGAGCAGAAGTTTTATGCTCAAATATGCTAGCGGTTTTGACCTGATCCCTTTTGCCTTCTGCCCCACCTATTACAAGAAGGGAGCTCTTGTAAGCTTCTCTGAAATGGGGCTACCTCCTGCTTGAGAGACTGTGCGTTTTATCACGCAAAAGCCACAGAGGGGCTAAACGTCATAAGGAAGAACAAAAAGCATGAATGTGAGCCGGCAAAGTTGTGTTGTGATTCGGAGGGTACTAACGGGTCAAGCAATGAATAACCCACAGTCACTGACAAAAAGTGGAGGCACAGGAATCTGTTTCAGGGAGTGGGAGAAGAAACTTTGGGGGCCTAGGAGAAAATATTGGGTGGCCCTGATAGGTAAGGCAAGGTGGAGGGATAATAAACAGGTACGCACAGGGGCTTGGAAGGGTAGTTTAGCAGGTGCAGAGTAGCTGGGCATGCATGAAGAGAGCACAGGAAGATAAGAATAGAAAGAGAAGATGGGTAGGTATCTTTGAGGGCAGCAAAGTAGCCAATTCTGCAGAGGAAAGGGCCGCCTTACCCTTTCCGGACACATCTGTGAAGCAGAAAGAGCCACTGTTTGGAAATCCTGCAGCTGCTGGAATCGCTGTCACAGATGACAAACATTCACTACCGTCAATTGATTCCTGGCGCTTTGCAGCAAATTTCAGACCAAAGCCCTCGGCTGCCCCAGGAGGAGATGCAAAGCCACGTATCTGCGAAGGAACTGTGGCAAGCAGGGCAGGTTTCGCTCTCCAGGCAGAGTGACTCCTTTTGCGCTTCTAAGGGAAGCCAGTGACGCACGGAAATCGAGCCGGTGAAGGTGTTCCTTGCACGGAAATCCACTGACGGGCAAAGCATCAGCTGCTTACATTTTGCTGCGCCAGATTGCTATCAAAAGCACAGGATGGCAGATATAAGAAACTTTGCAAGCCCAGAGTGCTTCCGAGCGAGGCTTCTATCGTGCCATGGCAATGTCTCATCCAACGGCTTTCGGGGGAGGCATGAGGACTACTATGGCCACCTTCCCCCCCCTTGAAAAAATGAGGATTTAAAGATGGAATATGTGCACAATGTCTTTGATTAGTAGCACTTGGACTTGTCCATCTGGAATCATCCCTTGGGATCAGCATGAGGAAAACCGTTCTCCTAAGAAATGGACAGAAAACTGGAGAAGCTCGGAAAAGAGCTAAACCATTGTTCTTGCAAGGGCCTTGATGGGGGCACCACTTGAAGGTGTCCAGCTTCCTTAGTGCTTTGGATGCTCCTTTCCCCCTTTCTTAGCGCCTGTTTTTAGAAGGCTGTGGAGCAGGCTTGGTTCAGCTAAAACTGGGAAGGGTTAGAGTTGGAAGTTGCAAGTGTCATTCACCCTTTCCCTGCACACACACAGTTCAGCTCACCCATGAAAATTAGAGCACTGCCTTGGAGACGGTCATGTCGAATCACAGGCGTCAAGATAATATGTCACTAGCACCAACAGAGACCATGGGCATGCCTTTACGTAAGCCTGCAAGGAGCTCCCTTGGACAGGCTGCAGTTCTAGAGCAGGGGTGCCAAATCTCAGCTCCACCGGCCAGATTCAGCCCGCCTGTGCGTCAAAGCCCCCTTGGGAATGCCAGGCCATTGGATGTTTGCCCACTTCGTTGCTTTGGCTAATGCTGGGGTACAGAAATGCCACTTCTAGATTCCCAGCCTGGTCTTGGGACATTCCCAGGATGGCCAGCTCCTTTTCTGAGCCCAATCTCTTTCACTCAATGGCCCATCATTTGGAATTTTCTTGGCTTTTCCATGGGTTTTTTCCCCCAGGTGCAAAACATAGTATGTACTACAAGTTTCATCACTGGCAGTACAAGCTTTTAAGCAAAAGTATGTCAGCCCTTTTTATACTTTGGCCCCAATCCTTTTGCCTAACCCTTTCCACCCTCAGCCCCAGCTACCACTGAAATTTGGCTCCACCATTAAATTCAACCCTGAGGCTGAGCAGAGTTTGACATTCCTGATACAGAAGGTCCCTTTCAAGGCAAGTTTTTCCCTCAGTAACAGATGGGCATAAGCACATTTTTAATCTATTTGTTCATACATTAATAATATTCTCTTAAAAGATTTATACCCAGCCCTTAAGTACCAATACAATCAGCACAGTCAGCAATCAAAAACAAAATGAGAAACAACCACAACAAAACAATAATTACTGAGCACTGAAAAGGAAGGCAGCCGCTAAAAGCAGTTTCAGCCAACATGAGAGGAAGCACGGGAAAATGCAGGGTCTCCTCCTTGCATCGAAAAGCCTTGGGAGATCATTCCACAAATGAGGCCGCACACTGAAGGCGTTCCCTGTCTTCAGTTGCTACCCATCTAGTCCAGAAGGTCTTCTTACAATGTCCTTAGCAGGTGGGCAGGTAAACAAGGCAGAAGGGCCTCTGTGGCATCAAGAACAGTCATAGTGACAGATCTTATTTCCCATTCCAGAGATACTCAGGTGAGGATAATTGAAAATACCGTCTCCAACGCGGAGCAATACTTTGGCAGGTTCTGCAGCCTGATGGCAGCTTATACGCGCAAGACGGCAAAGCTTCGGGATAAGGCAGACCTGCTTGTCAAGCAGCTCCTTGACTACGCCAACACAGAGAGTCCCGAGCTGCGAACCACCGTCAAGAACTTCGCCGAGGAGCTGGCCAGAGTGCAGGACTACAGGCAAGCGGAGGTAAACGGCCGAGCGTGGAGAGCAAAATCCATCCCGCAGCACATCTACACACACAAGACTGGTGGAATATCCATCCCATGCAAAGATCATAGCAAGCACTAATCACAACAGGACCTGAGCAACCCCTACCTGTAAGGATTGATGGGTAATCTGTTGGTCCTGGGGGAGGCATGGGTGGACACAAAACCCACAGTTCCCGGAAGAAACTGGTAAGGCTAAAAGAAACGTTAACTTGGCAGAGGTAGTCTTTGAGCTCTGAAACACAGAACTGCCCTTTCAAACCCAAATTGAGATGGTGCTGTGGAACAGCACATCCCTCTATATCATGCTAACCTCCCATTTTAGAAAAACCCTGTATTTAAGTATGTCTTAAATAAAAGAGAAGTCAGAAGGGTCGTGCAGCTATATGGGAGAGGGTGAATACAACGGGCACCGGGCGGGAAACTCCAGGCTCCAAGACTTTTTGTCGCAACATGCAAGTCGTCCGGACCTGGAGGACTGAGCTGCCACCTCTTTAAGTGATAAGGGGCAGATACACTGCACCTTTAGTAGCTGCCTGAGAGGCACAAGTGAACCAGGTGTGCCCTCTTCCCAGCAGTGAACAGCCTGATGTCTCTGGAAGGCAAAAGCCCTCTCCCCCGCCACGGGCACAAGAAAGGCAGGCGTTGTGCAGGATGGGAGCACCTGGGGTAAAATCGCAGCAGCCACGGTGCAGGCCACGAAGCACAATCCCGGCACCACCGATGGAAGCGTGGAATGCCGCAGGTCCAACAAGGCCTAAACCGGAACACACACTGCGGGAACAGGGGTCCAGTGAATCCTCAACCTGTGAACGCACATCGCTTGGCTGAAACTGTGCCTCCTGCTCAGTTCGTCATACCTTCTCCTTCAGGTGGAGAGACTGGAGGTGAAGGTTGTCGAACCTCTGAAGGTGTACGGGATGCTCATCAAGCAGACCAGGGTAAGCGTGTGCTTCTACCGGCAACCCCACATTGAGCTCACAGTGGGAATGCAATGCCGTTGTGAACTGAGATCTGAGCTCGGGGGCAGTGGCACTGTCTCCCTGCAAAGCAGCTTTGCGAGCACAGGACTGGCAGGTGTGTGTGTGTGTGTGTGTGGCGGGGCAGGAGGAGAACTGCAACATCTCAGAGACCAATATACTTGCGGCCATTGCAGTTTGACGGGGTGCCCTCCTCCAGCAACTCACACCAGCTGGACCGTGGATGTCCCGCTGAGCCTGCACCCCTTCATATTTGCCTATGCCTCCATGTCGCTGGAAATCTTGCTTCATCCTATTCTTTGCACAAATATTTTCAAGTTTTTCTTTGCAGCATTAAAGATTAGAAGCCTGCCTTTTCACAAAAGGCACCCCAGCGCTGTTTGTCAAAGCGCTCTACATGAACCAGGATAGTGGACCAGTGTATCTGGGGGACACGCTGGCCCCTGGCCCACGGCCGTCTTCCCCGATCGGCAAAGGCTGTGCCAGGTCTTCGACAGAGAAGGGTCTTTCTGCTCAATTCTTTCCAAGGGAGATTCCAAATAATCTGAACCATGGGAAGCAGGAGGCGTTCCAAAGGAGCAAAGTTCAGGGAACCAAGATTTAGAGTGGATGCCTGGAACTACTTCTTGTACCCTAGGGTATGGAATGGGCTTCCGCAGGGGTGGTTGAGGCCCCATCGGTGAGGCTGCTCAAGGATAGGCTAGACACGCACATGGTGGGCATGTCATGAGGGGAGCCATCTGGAGTCGGGGGTCAGACTAGATGGCCCAGGAGACCCCTTCTGACTCACTCTGTTTCTCTGCTTCCATGTTCCTAAGCAAGTGTTCTGCCGTGAGAAGGTCTTTCTGCTCAATACTGGTATAACCACACCAAACAAAAATTGCAGAGAATGGGAGAGGGGAGAACCCCTTGTGCTAAGCAGAGCTGCTTCCAACCCTGCTGTCCTAGACCAACTGTTGTGCAAACCAGGTTGCCTTTGTCGCATCCAACAGGCCGATATTAAGAAGTTCAACAACGCCCGAAAAAACGAAATGAAGCAGCTCCAGCAGCTAGAGAAGATCCGCCTGAAGTCGCCATCCAACCGACACGTGATCGTATCCTTGCCAGCACGTGGATGCGCCAACCTGCAAACACCCCTGGCCCCCCAGCGCCCCAGAGTTCTGGCTCTCCGAGTGAACGCAGCCTGCTCAGGAAGGCTGGGTGAGCCGCCCTCGCCAAGGGAGGCTCAAGTTACAGAGGGGCTTCCTTCTGAGTGCTGCACAGCGCAGTGGAATCCAATGAAACCTATTGGAAACAGACGCACGAAGGGAAAACAGTCTCCTCAAATAAGGGGAAGCAAAATAGATTGCTGCAGGCCAACAGCTGGCTCTCTGGGGAGCTAACTGGGCCCAGATAAATAAAAGATGAAAGCAGTAGGAATAATGCTTAGATGACAAGTGTGCATTTGGCGCACACGTGTGCGCATGCATGTGCACACACGCAGGCAGGCAAGCATGCGTACTCGCAACGTCAACTGCCTCAGCACAGAACAGCGATGGTCAAATGGGGAATAAAAATAGACAACACTTGGATGTACATTTCAAACCAGGATGCACAAAGAGGGTCACTGCTAGGCACTTAAAATATTCTGAGGACAGGCCCCTAGGACATAAATCCATATACACATAAATGAATCTTAAAACAATGACCACGGTTTACGTAAATACCATAGGAGGCAAAGTAAGCTAGTTAATCGGTCGTCAAAATGGTCTCCAATAAAGTCATTTCTTCATTTCTTTGCACCCTGGCCCAGGTCGTCATAAGAAAAGCCATTCCGGACCTCCATCCCAAACCAGTGGAGAATTATTTTTCCTAGACTGAATTGTCACGCAAGGGGGGAAAATGGAGGGTGGGGGGAGGAATGGCAACATATGGAATAGGAAGAACTAAGTCACTTTCCCCCTGCTGTAACCTTCCTTGAAAATTGACCCTGCATGACAACGAAGCTGGTGAAAAACCTTCCATTGACACCAATGGGCAGTCTGTGGAAGAGATATGGATCTTAAGAAATGGGTTTGGGACAGGATCCCATGCGCCCAGGTGCAACAGTGACCCCATATACCAGAGTTCACGCCTAAAGAGCCTTCGGGCCATATAAACATGTGATAAATAAATACCCTAACCCATATAGGGTCAGATGCGACTAGCAGCAACAACCCATATAATCTGCAATTGCGAGAGGAAGGTTCCTAGGCTACAAGGAAGCACCTTTTTTACCGTTCCCAAGCACTTCTTTTTTTCAGCAACATACGAGTGCGAGCAGAGTGCAGCAAAACCAGTCAAGGCGTATTCTTCCTTTGCAGAGGATCAGATGTGCCATGCAATTCCTCAGGGGCTGATTGAAATATCCAAATAGCTTCCTAGCATCAGCATGTTTAAAATATTGGTGAGAAAGGGGAGTTTTCTTCTTTCATGCAACATTCATCCAGAGGGGAAAATAAGATCTGCTGGGGAAAGAGGCAACAGGATAATCCTGGCAGCTCAAAAAAGCTTTTCCCTTTTCCCCTCCCTCTTGGCAAGGGATATTTTAATCAGGATCTTTGAAAACTAAACCTTTTTTCCCCCAAGGGGAGACGCTCTCAGCAACAAATCCCCAGGAAAGGCTCTCCAGGGGAGGAGAAGAGCCTTGACATTCTCTTAATCCCTTCTGTGCTAAACTCAGATGCTGAGAGAGCAAACGTAAAACAAGGGAAACGATGAGGGAAAGCTGGCCGAGGCAGCAACGCTGGGATCTGGGATCGTTTCCAGGCGGCTGGAAGAGTTTTCTTTCTAGGACTGTGTGGGGGCACCATCTCCAGCTGAAATGCTTCGCCCAGAGCTGCACCACAGTTCCCTGGCACCCTCAAAATGCCCCGTGTTGCAGCCCCCCATCAGGGCTAGGAGCAGGGGGAGCTGTGCTCTATCTGGAGGAAGCTAACACAGGGGTTAGTTCTTTTGCCCCACTGGAACACCCAAAAGCTTCTCCGAAACAGATTCGGCCTTCAGATTCAAAGGGGTTTGGCACCCTTCTGCTAGACCACGCAGACAAATTCGGGGAGAAAAGGTTAAAACGGCATTCTCCTCCTCACAGCTCCACCAAATCCCAAAGCTGAAGCTTGCCCACAACCATCTGACAGTCAAGGAGGCTGCCGGTCCAGGCAGGCACGCTCACCGCTCTCTTCCCAGTGCCAGCAGTTCCAGAGATCTGCGTATGGATTTGACTGCCCTCTGGTGTTGAAGCTCAACACAGACCTCTCTCTCCCCCTAAAAATCGCCTGTCTGGATAATTACCATCATAGGATAGGTTTTAAATGTAGAGGGACCAGACACCCAGCCAGGTGACTGAGTGACCATCATTCTATGAAATGTACCCTATTATGCGGCCTCCAGCTTTCCGGCTCGTTGGTCCATGGACCGGAATCCAGCCATGCCGGAGGCACGCTTGCCAATCCAATCCCTTTCGGCCAGTCGGGTGGAGCCCTCCGCTTCCTCCCCTTGCTTGCCACTCTGTTTATTTTTCTTTCTTTCCCCCACTACCTGCCTTCTTAAGAGAACCCCCTCAGGCTTTTGAGTCTTCAGTGGACCCCGTCCTTTGGCCACGGCTTCCAAATGGACTCTCCCAACCCTTCCTGACCCACCTTTGCCTCTGGGCCTTATAGGCTGGGTCTTCCTGCTTCCATTGGATAAGCAGCCTGGCAGGCGCTGAAGCTTAAAAAAGGAGGCACGGCTTATTTTTGGACCCAACCACCCAAACTTACTGGCCTGCAGAGAGAGATTGCCAGCCTGGTGGAAGTCAATAGAGGAGAGGTAGAAAGTGGCATTGCTGTGGGGCGGCACTTTAGAGTCCACACTGGGGGCAAAGCGTGCCCCCAGAGGGCCCCACCAATTCCTCCACCGGCCTGCTTGCTTGCCTCCAGGAGTTCCACGCACCGGACTGCATGAAATGGCCTGTCGTCTATGTGACCAGGCTGGTGCTTAGAAACATAGAAACAGAGCGAGCCAGAAGGGACCTCCCGGGCCATCTAGTCTGACCCTCAGCTCCATCCGGCTCCGCTCACGACATGCCCACCATGTGGACGCCCAGCCTATCCGTGAACACCTGCACCGATGGGGCCTCAGTGACCTCTCGTGGAAGCCCATTCCACACCCTCGGGGTCCTGACTGTCAGGAAGGGCTTCCTGGCATCCAAATGGAACCTGGGTTCCCTGAGCTTTGCTCTGTTGGAGCACATCCTGCCTTCCTCTGCAGGGGAGAACTGGTCTCTACCCACCTCCGTGTGACACCCCCTCACATACCTGTATGTTGCCAACATATCCCCTCTGAGTCTCCTCTTCTCCAGGCTGAAGAGACCAGTTCCCTCAGTCTCGCCTCACACCCCGTCCCCTGCAAACCGGCCACCAACCTTGTGGCCCTACGCTGCACTGACTCTAACCTGGCTATATCCTTTCTGTAATGAGGGGCCCAAAACTGAACACAATAGTTTTTGCTTAAACAAAAAGCTGGCCTGGTGAGACAGATCCCCCTCATTCCAACCATTTTATTGCTCTCCATTTGGTTTATTCCCTTGACTCCCATTCTCAGACACAGGTAAGATTTTTTCCCCCTAGGATGAAATGACAGCCACATGTGCAGCAACATTAAAGTGAAATGCAGGTGAGAACACGAGGGCACAACCATCCTCCAGACCTCCAGAAAAAAATGCCACCAGAGTAAGAAATTTGGCTTGGGGTACAGACACACTATTGGATTGACTCTGGTTTTGTTTTAAAACTAGTCGAGTATGAAGCAAGCATTGTTCTTCATCCCGGTGGTCTCCTTTGGGAAAGCTATATGTTTACATCTCAGCTTTCCATACCTTTATTTGAAGTACGTACATTGCTTTGTGACTGAATCTCTGGCGCCAAAAAATACTGATCACCCCAATCCACATGCATGCAACCCACCATGTCTAACACTGAATGGCTCCATGTGGAGACGGACAACACAGCAAGAAACACACCCAGACGGTTTAAAAGACGCTGGCCTCATCTGTGCTCGCTGCAGAATCAGTCCATCCTGAAATGGGAGAATGACCAGCCACCTTTAGGCTTCATCAGCTCAGACCCGGACACACACTGCCTGACCAGAAAGAATTCTGCTGTCATTCAGAGCAGACCGCAGGTGGAGGCTAAGCACCAATCAGCAGGCTGTTTGCAGAACCGAGAACAAGCCGAGTAACACAGCTGCTATATTAAACTGGATGTCAAACATTCAGGACTCGCCAAAAGGTCACAGACTTGCTCAACCAAAAGGATGAATGAAAAAGCATGCTTTGTTTTCAGGAAGGAAAGCCACCAGAATGAAGCAGCCCCCTACCTTTACATATTAATTAATTTCTGGAGGAAGCTTTTACAGCACCACCCTTCTTGGAAGTTTAGGGGGTGTTCAGGTAACACCCCCTTCCACTTTGTGAGCTTACTGCTTCTTCCACCTTTTCTCTAAGCGTGACAGAAGGAGAAGAGGGCAGAAGTGCCTTCCGATCGGTAGTGCTTGGAGCCCTCCGTCTGAGGGTGCCCTTCAAATACTCTAACACAAACTAGGTAGATGTGCCCGGTAACCCTTATCACAGCCTTTCAATTAGAGATTTTCCATCATCCCTGTCCTGGAGAAGTGGTAGTGAGAGTTACAAAGAGGCAGCCTTGCTTAAGGCTGGAAGGATATTTCAACATCCTTAGCTTGAATCACAGGATTAGCTAGGAGGCTGCCCCATTTTGTATATGTCCAGACTCAACACACACACACACACACACACACACACACACACACACACACACACAGAGTCTTTGCTGTGGAACAGTTCTCTGCTGCCATCCAGAGAAGCACAACCTTGAGAGGCATTCCAAGAGACATGCCCAGATCCTCAGGGCCTATGCAACTCAAATTGTTTCCCTATATTTATATTATGCTGTAATCAGCAAGCTACAGGCCTATAATTATGCTCTGCTAAAACCAGCAAAGCTCCAGAGCATTCACAGTTGGTAGTTTCATGCACAAAGGTTAAGCTTCTGCTCTGCCTGCATTTTTTTGGACTAAGATTGAAAGACAGGAGTGAGGCAGGACGGATTAAGCCCTTGCAACACTCTGGCAGAATTACCATCTTGCGTGTCAATGGAGAAGTATCTGAAGCAAGAAATACCTTTAGCTCACATCACAGGAAGATCTGGCAGGATTATCTATCCCATCAAGCTCCTATCTCTTCCAAGTGAATGCCTTCTTGAGCAGCAGGGGGAGTTTGCTGGTCTATCACACATCACTTGTTTACAACCATACTGGAAAGCGTACTTCTTGCAGTAAACCAAGTTTATTTACTGGCATTCAGCACCAGTCACGGTACTAACCAACCATGGCGAGGGAGTGCTGAGTTAAAACTGATTTAGCTCATCAACAGCTGCACCAAGAAACTGGGACCAGGGCTTCCCAGATCTGTTGAAACTGGTCTTATCTGGAAGCCACTTAAAGCTGATAGTTCTGGACAGCGATTGCAAAGGGGCCCAGGATTCTTTCCTTCACTGGGAGCAGTTCAGTATCGATCCATTTTCAGAGCTACAAATCGTCTCTTCCCGCAACATAAAGCTGCAGCAGAGGAGGAGCAATGTAACTGGAGGACTCACTCGCTGTGTCATTCAAGTAAGGTAAATACAGAGTTTTGAAGCATGTAAATGCAGAAGCCATTAACCTCGGCAGTATGTACAAAATGGCTGTGGACACTCAGGTCCACAAGATCTTCAAGAACTGACTTTTTTCTGCATTTGCCCAGTGCAAGGCAGACTTTCTACCCATTTCACTCCTAGGAAATTAGGCAGAAAAGAGGGTGTCAATGTGATTCCAGACAAAGCCTTTATACGCCACTGCCCTGCCCCGTTCACTGAGATTCTACAGGAAGTCAAATTCAAAACTGAACTCCATTTGATACCTGCCCTACTTTTCCATCGCTGCGCCTGTCTTTTTGCTTACCACCAATACATCCATTCAGGAAGGGAAAATGGAATAGCTGTATAATGTCTTTTGCCTGGTAGTGCCAGGAGTCTGCTTTGGAAGCCCTCCGTGGACAGAGATGCCCTGGCAGGTTTCAGGAAACGTCTAGGCAGAGAAGGAGCGATGCCCAAACACGGCAACCTGTCCACTCCAGTCATAGCATGCTCCATGTAAAACCCATGGAAAGTAAGAAGGCCACACAGCTAAAGCAATCCCATCCCATTCAGGGCGTTCATTCACACTGAGCAAATCTACACAATTAGAAAAAAGGTTCTAAACACAGGCACAGATCCATCCAGCCCAATACTGTCAACACGGACTGGCAGCAATGGGGATCCAGGGCTTCAGGCAGGAATACATGCCAGGTGCCAGGGACCGAAGCAGCGATGTTGCATGGAAAGCTGGTGCTCTGCCATTGAGCCATGAGCCTTTTCTGGATTACGCAGGCATGCGTGCTTGCATCACCTGGGAAGAGGCATCCCCATCTCCCACAGAAGGGAGGAGATGATTCTTAAGTGGAACTTGCCAGCTAAACTTTTAGAAGTGGGTGTATTAAAATAATTTGCTTAAAATGCAAAAGTCCACTCAAAAATTGTAGTCCACTCAGCTAACCTGGGGTGAGCCACCTGCAGTCCCTGGCGTAATCAAGCTGCCCGTTACCAGACATCTGTCGCAAATGATTTCCCCCTCCTCTGGCAGTCCACTGGCCGGGGGGAAAGGATTGCGGGGGCGAGGGAGAGAGTGTGGCAGAAGGATAAGGGGGTGTCCAGAAGAGAGAGGAAAGTAGGTGACCCCACCTGTTTTGCTTTTGGCTCTGTCCTGGCACCCCCTGCAGATCATCCAAATAGAAAGCAGGGAAAATAAAGATCCCCAGGCCTGAACTAACCCATTAGTTGACTAACACCACCATCCTGTACATTTCTAGTGAGAAAAGTGGCACTGAATTCAGCGGTTCTCGCTCCTAGGTGTGCATTGCAGCCAAAATAAAATCTTACTATCGGATTGATTGTTGGAAGGATTTTAAACCTCCCAAGTTGGCTTAGAGTTTACAAAACAAGAACGTGCGAGTTGCAGCTGTTCATGCACAGAGGAGAAGCAACTACTGATTTGCAAGCACCAAATGCAGCCTGGATTAATATGGCTTCTGGGGTTGCTATTTCTTAAAGCCAGGACTGGCGAAGCCCATTTGCACCTCTCCGGGGAGGGAGGGAGTCCCAAAGGCTGGGCTGAGCCTAAGAAAGTCATTTGCTTAGTCTCTGCCAGCCCCATGAAGCTTGTTTGTGGGCCTGGGAGCAGCGGCTTTGGCACCGATTTTCATTCTTTCAATCTGATGCAGGTGTAGGGGGTCCCTGAGATAACGCCATCCAAATTCACGTGGGGCTTTCAGGCCCAAACCATCACCTTGAATTGAACCTGGAAACCAACAGGGAGACAGTATAAACAATACAAAATCTAGGATCCCATCTATCGCCTTCAAGGGCAGCCCGGTTTAGAGCACATTATAGTAATTTTTATTTATTTATTTATTTATTTATGTATGTAAAATATTTCTATGCCGTCCTATTTGCAAAAAAGCCTCAGGACGGCTTACAATGTAAAATATAACACAAATAACATAAATAAATTCCCGACCCACACTGGCTGCAATTAAAAACATAGAAAAGACAATATTAAAACTTATTAAAATACGGCTGGAATAAAAAGGTCTTAACCTGGTGCCGAAAAACAAATAATGACAGCACCAGGCGGGCCTCTCTGGGGAGCGCATTCCATAGGTGGGGCGCCACCGCAGAGAAGGCCCTCCTCCGAGTACTTGCATCCTCATATCTTTCACGGAGCATTCCCGGAGGAGGGCCTCTGCCGCTGATCTCAAGGGGCGGGAGGGCAAATATGGAAGAAGGCGTTCCTTCAGGTATCCAGGTCCCAAGCCATTAATTTAACTCTTCCTGTCATACACCACCATTTGCTGTTTACTTCCAGGTAAGAGCCCAGGTGTGATATCACCCCACGCTCCTCTAATTCTACATGGTGCCTTCCTGGGTTCATTCTCATAGCCACTCCCCATGTTTGCCTAGGCTGAATCTCAAGTGCACAAGGCGTCCGTTGATGCAAGCCGATCAACACAGCGGCTTGAAGAAACCATTGATGAGTTTCAGAAGCAGAAATTACAGGATATTCAGGTAATGCCTCACGCAGGCTGGAGAGTCTTTTGTTAACCTACCTTGGGCCTACATGGAGCCATGACACAAATGCTTTAGAAGCTGCAATTTTATGCGTAGCTACTTGAGAGTTAAGCCCTTTCTGTCATGTTCTACTTTGAAGAGGATTCATCCCATGAAAAAGAGGCAGGGGAACACCAGGACTGTGGGAACGTGGCCCACCTGGCTTCTTCTTCTTGAGATTAATCCTCCTTCAGACAGAAAATGCCACCGTTCAGCTCACAGGAGGACTTGATTCCAAAGAAGTATGCAAAAGCCAAGGTTGCAGTAAAGACCAGCTATCGTCACTACTAGAAGCAATGAAGGGAATTGTTTGGGGTGAAGTAGCATTCTTTTCAGCAGGGCCTTCTGATTTTCCCAAGGTCTGCTCCGTATAACTCCCCCTTCATCAGTAGACTGCATTAAATTAACTATTCTGCTCTATAGTCCTCAAGAATGAAATGTAAGAATGGTCATGTGGAAAGGTAGAGAGAGAACCATTGAGATTATTGATTGGACCAACCAAACATTTACAGATACTGCAAGCAGCTGGGCATCGCTGGACTCTTAACTCGGCCAAACAGGGACTGAAAACGGAAAAAGGATTCCCACATGCCATTTTATATTCCAACTTCTGTTCTTTACCCAGACAAAAGGTTACCCCAACTGCTGAGTAGATTTCCCCTTTGCCAAAGGGAGAGGTCTTTGGTTTTCAAATTATGCAAACTGAAAAGGAATGGAAAAGTCAAAACGGAAAATGGAACATGCATTTGTTTTTTCTCCACATTTCCCTTCTTAGCAATCTTGCATGTGTATGAAATGGAGCAGCTTCTGTCTCTCTCTCTCTCTCTCTCTCTCTCTCTCTCTCTCTCTCTCTCTCTCTTTCTTTCTTGCAATTTGTCTTCTCCAGCAACTGCCTTTATGAAGCAATTGCCTCAATGCAAAGATTAGCTACCACTGCATTTTCAATTCTGCTTTATTGGACATGTGTGTTTCTATCCAATTTCCTTTAGGAGGATAAAAACATGCATTTCCAAAATGGCACTGCAACCCTGTTCTAACGAAACAGAGGACTTTAAGGGACTCACATTGAGTTGCACGGTCTCCTTTCCTTGCAGAAGATATTCCTGGATTTTATCAGCATTGAGATGGTCTTCCATGCAAAGGCTTTAGAGGTCTACTCCACTGCATTCCAACATCTTAAAAGCTATGACATGCAGAAAGACCTGGAGGTAAAAGAATATTAAAACATAAGAGTTTGGCCTTTAACACCACTTCAGCACCTGCCCAAAAAAAGGAGACTGGCCCCCACGGGAGAATTTACCCAATTTTCAGTTTTCAGGGTCAGTATTTGTATCATCCTGCATGTTGCCCCCTCATGGTGAAACCAAACATTGCTTTAACTATTATTGTTTATGTTTTGATAGTAACAAGTCAATTCTTACTAAATGAAGTTACATTGTTCATAAATGACACTTTAGTCCTGTGTTCTTACCCATGAGGAGGAAGCACTGATAGAAATGCTGAAAACTGAAAAAAACAAAGTCCCTTTATATGCATTTTTCATTATGACATTGTGTCAAAAATGCAAGCAACGAAAAGGACGAATCCTGCATGACAAGACAAAAACAGAGGGCGAATAATTGACAGGGCCCGGCCACAGTCCTTCTTTGCAGTACATGCAAACACATTTTGAGTGTTCAAAAATCAGCTGCACTCAGAAATAAGGTGTTTGTTGAGGCTCCTGGCGGGCCCCTCAATGGAGGTTGGGGCGACCAGGCCCGAGAAGCTCTGAGGCTCCCCCCTTCCTTGTCAGCCCCCCGTAGTGCGAAGGCACCCACAGCAGGCTGAGGAAAGGCGGCCGGCCTTCCCTGAGGGAATATATATAAATAGATAGATAAATAAGCTGGGCTGAACCCAGTGTGAGAGGCAGTGTGGTGTAGTGGTTAAGAGCATGGGACTGGGACTCAGGCGATCCAGGTTCTGGTCCCCGCTCAGCCATGGAGCCAACTGGGTGACCTTGGGCCAGTCGCAGACTCTCAGCCCAACCTACCTCACAGGGTTGTTGTTGTGGGGATAAATGGAGGGGGAGAATGATGTGAGCTGCCTTGAGCCCTTTGTAGGAAAAAGGCAGGATATAAATGGGGGTGGGGGGGGCACACACAACAAAACCTCCTCAGTGGCCAGCTTCCCTCAGCTGGCCCTGCAAGCCACGGTGCTTTGAGGGCACGGCGGTGGTGGTTGCCATGGCAACTACCCACCCCAGCTTACGCTTGCGCAGTCTGTGCGGCTGGGGAGACCCCCCACCAGCACCGGGGCTTCAGTGAAGGCCTTTCCCCTTACTAGGCCAAAGAGGGTGGGCGAATATGGCCGTCAGAGCAGCTCAGTGATCAAATGTGTCACGGCTCGATTCCAGTCCCCTCGTCTGGATGTTAGTTACTCAGCATGGCGCTGGAAGGCAACTCACTAACGCCTCGTTATCATCGTGGCACCGTCCTAGAGGACATCCATTTCAGTTTTCAGAGTGGGAATGATGGCCGACACACTGTCCATTATATTTCTATAAATCAATATTTGCGGGGGGGGGGTTGAAGCCCCCTTTTTCTCATTCTTTGCTGCCCCCAAATGCATGTATTCGCACACACGCGTATGCAGAGTTCCCAAAGCTGCACCAGCTGAAATTTATTCAGGCCCACAATTCTGTCTTCATGTAAAATACCGGCAAAATCTGGCCGTAATTCGTTTTCTTTTCTGGATATCACTTCCCAAAGTAGGGACAGTCCTTAAAAAGCATGAACGGCAAGCCATCCTGGAGCAGTCTCTACACAGGTAATAACAAATACACAGGTCACGGCGAAGCAAACACTCTGCAGAGATTAGTGAGGGCCCTAAAAGGATGTCTTGCCTTGTTAGGACTTCAGAGCAAAAGTACAGATGGCTTCTGGAACCTTCCATGAGGCAAAACCAGCTACTGCAATGACTCCAGCCTCTACCATTCCGTGGTCCACTGGCACACAGGTGAGAAGAGTTGTTATTGCAGTAATGTGCCCTGGCTCCAGAAACAGACTTTGACAGGAAGGAGTGATGCACCATAGAAAATGTGACTTCGTGTCCTTGAGAAAAGGGGAAAGGGATCCATTTTTCAACCTCAAAGGCACTCAGAACGGAAGAACAGCAGGCGAAACAGGCAGGGCCGACAGGGAGAGAACAGGGCAGTTTTGCTGTCTACGCTTGCAACCAGCAGGTGCAAACCCGGAGAGGCCCTGGGTTGTGTTTTTTCTGTGGAGGGTGTTCCATACATGCAGCCATCGCTTTGCAAGATAGTTATCAAGTCCTGGCCGTGTACGTGCCAACTCAGCCCAAAATACACAGCCCTGTTGTTTGCCTGAAGGTTGGAGGAATGCTCCCTAGCAACACCTGAGGGGCCATATCTGAGGAACCAAATTCCCACATCCGGCTGCTCTAAGCTTCACAGCTTAATTCAGGGCTCCACGTCCCAGGGGGACCTCCAGTTCATCTCCATGCTGGGCTAGTTGGATGCACGCAGCTTTCAAGGGTTGGCAGCGTCATCCATTTTCAAAGACATGAAGCTCACATTTTCATTTTGGGGCAGGGAAACAGTCCCCATATAGACTTCACACTGGCCACGTATGCTAACCAAAGTTCCCTCTCTCCATCTCCAGAGCATTCTTCAGAAGTTGTCCCTAGTGGAGAGTGATGAAGACGATGAAGAAAGTCAGCTGCAAGATTTAAGCCACACAAAATACACCCAGATCCAGCATGTCGCCAGCAAAACCCCATGACAGTGTCCATCTTGAGAAATGATGTTGGGTTATAGTTGTTTTTCTGTGTTCCACAGCAGAGCTTCCAAGTTTACTCTACAATGATCCATACACTATCTCCCTTTCACAATCTTGATATTTACACTGAAAAAAATCAAACTTGCCATGTGTCCTTTTATTTAAAAATGGCATGGACTGAATTTGAGCTTTGAAACTCACTCTTCATTCAAGAGGACTAGAACCATAAGATGAACACAAACCAGATAAATTCAGTCACCTCAGAACGTGGATACATTCACAGTACTAGTACAGGGCCCACACAGCTTGAAGGTAAATCACTCCAAACTGCATTGTCCCTGTTTTAAAAAGTACTGTCCATGTTTCTGAACGTTTTGCCTCCGTTACTGGACTATTTCAGAGCAAGAAGGTACCAGTGTACTCCCACAGTGATTCCAGATGAGGCCTTTATCACACCCGCTGCCCTGCCTCAATCACGGAATTTGGCAGGGGCTCCCAAAACACCATCTTCCACTCATAATCTTCCTGTGTATCTCCATTGCCTCCCAAGTCTCTTTTCTTCCTGCAGAAAATCCATTAAAAAGACAGAATACTTACATATCTTCTGTTCGGTAGTTCTAAGAAGCATCATCCTGGGGCGTCTACCATATTTGCCAGTCGGAGGCTAAAGAAAGACAGACAGACAGAAAGGAACTCAATTGGCATTAATGGAGCTATATTTCTTTCTTTAGCCCCCACATGGGAGGGTTGGTTGCATTTATTGGGGAAATGCAGCTGTGTGGAAAGTTTAGCCACCCATACAAATTATCTATTTATGAAGTTCACTGGCCCCAGGAGAGATTGGTGAGAGCTTTCCTGGGTTTGGTTATCTTGCAGGGCTCAATTAATCCTACAGTATTCCTTAGGTTTTTGCCTCATTTAAGGGGGAAAGGCAGACTTTGAACTCATTTCCCAGAATCACAGAATGGCAGAGTTGGAAGAGGCCTAGAAGGGATCCAACCCCCTGCTAGCGCATCACGACATCAGGTTCTGTTGGCCGGACCCTTGCATTCAAAACAGCTATTACTGGGGGTGACTGCAGCCAATATAGAACAATTCTAGAACCATTCACAAGACAAAGGGAGAGTAAGCCCCTCTTTAACCAATCCTGTTCTGCACCAAGCATGCAACACACCAGGCCCAGGAGAAATCCAATCGGTTGCCGTCATTATTCATTTATACGCCTGAATCAAAGCACCGTTATTTCCCAACACACACGCAGAAGGAAATGAAGACCCTCTTGTTTATTTGAAGTCATGGTACATTTTGTACCCACGGGTAACAAATGAACAGTGACTCTTGAATCAAGCAGATCATGTTTCATTTTAACTAGTGTCAGGGATGCTAAGACCTGAATGAAGAACCTTTGGTTCTGGAAAAATAGGACGGCCCTTCGTACCAGGTCAGAGATTATGCTTGTAGCCCAGGATTATCCATTCTCCTTTGAAGATGGTTCAGAAACTGCATCATGTTCAAAACGCAGCTGCCAGATGGAAAACGAGGCAGCCCCTCTGCGAGTGAGCTCTGAGTCAAGCAATCTGTCTCTCTCCCGGTGGACGGCGTGATGGGAAAGAAAGAGAACCGGGCACCCGAGGGAGGGAGGAGTGCAGAAAGAGGAAGCCGAGAAAGAAAGGGGGACTGCAGAAAAGGGGAAGGTCACCCTGCTTCCTTTTGGCATTGCCCCACCTCCTGCTGGCTTCGGCCCCACGAGGGTTTGCCAATGAGCTAATGCAGCCCTCGACAGAAAAACAAGCCTTCATCCAGCTTTTGTTCCACCTCTGGCTTCTGTTCCCGCATCGGAATGCAAGGGCCAAGGTTGGGAGAGCGCCGAGAGCTGGCAGCTGGCACGCAGCCAGGCGGGATGGAGCTGCACAGAAGCAGAGGGCGGAAGGGAAGGCTTGTGTGCTTTTCTTCCTCTCTTTCCCATCATATACTCCGACAACTGGAGCTCTCATTCGGCAGGATGGGTCTAAGGATCCCGTCTCCCAGCCTCGCATGTTCTGCCGCACGGCACACGAGAATGCATGGTGCAGACGGCTCAGGGCTGCTGTGAGGGGAGGAGGAAAAACGCAGGAAGGAAATGCTGGAAGAGCACATAGGAAGTCAAGAAAGGGCACTCTGTAGGAAGGGTCTGGCATCCAGATATGGCAAAGAGTGAGTTGGAAGACAGGGAAATTTAAGTGACGTGCTCACACCCCATGTGGTAAAGGAAAAATATTTATTTTGAGCAGTTAACAAATAAAAGTACAACTGAAAAATCATAAAATAGAAAAACAGAAACTTATTTTAAAGAGGGGCTTTAAACTTGGCATTAAATCAGCTACAAGAGAGTCGGAAGAAGGTTTCGAAATTGCACCCTTTGCAACCCATTGTGGAATCTTGGTGGTGGTGTTGTTGGTTCCTTCATTTCGTATTCTGTCCTTTTCCTGAGGAAAGCGGGGCTGCACACATGCCCCCCCACCGCCCTGACGCTGTATCTGTGCAACGGTGCTGCAAGGCGGGGTAGAATGAAAAGGGGGGATGGGCCCCAGACCCGCCTGGGAGCTGCATGATGGAACATGTTTTGAACCCCAGTTGATGTCCAAAATTCTATCTGCTACATCAGGGATGGACAACTCATGGCCCTCCCCCAGCTGTCTTGGACTCCAGCTCCCATCAGCCCTAGGCACCATAGCCAAAGGCAGGGGACGATGGGAGCTGTAGGCCAAAGCCTCTTGAGGGCCATGAGTTGCCCTCCTCTGTGACTCAATCACCTCAGATTTCAGAGTTTGCAAAATGTGTTCCTGAATTCCTCCCCTTTGGACTGCAATGAAGCCACGCAGCCACACGACGTCTTGCTGCCACCTGTCACTGGTGCTGTGCAGAGGGAAGCGTGATCCGCGTGCAGAGTCGCTCTTCCTCTCGCACGTGCTCCAAGGCTGGCCCAGCCACAAGAACAGGTTCTGGGGCAGAGCACGTGCGCTGACAGCAGATGCCGACACCACGGCCGCGGGCCAGAGGATGCGCATTCCCAGACACTTTGGTGCAGCGAGGAGCAGCGGCAAGCAGGGCCTGGGGCCCCAGGGCAGGCTAGATCAGAAACTGCTTCTCCACCAAGGTTTTCTCTGCAAGGTTCCGCCTTCCAAGGGCGTCGCGCAGCATCCGCAGAAGCTGAAAACACAGAGGCGTCTCTGCCTGGCTGGTCCTCACTTAACGTGTGCCTAGGCTGCCTACCCACAAAATATTATTTAAAAGGAAAGCAGGGGATGATAGGAAATGCCATCAGAGATAGATGGTGTGGTACAAATACACAAGTGCGCACACGGGGCTCAGCCCCCGACTCCGTCTCTGAGCCCCATCAGTTTGACTTCCGTGCAGTAGGAGCGAGGCCAGGTGCGCCATGGCGGCCATGTTGTGAAAGTGCCCAGGACACATGTGCCACATTCCAAAAGGGTTCACCGACATGGACCCCAAAACACCGGGGCGCCCTGACCTAGCCATGTCCCTTACACTTTTGCCACCAAGTTACTTACCGTTTGTACAACAAAAGTCACAATTGTGGCCAACACAAAATCCTGTGCCCCCAAATCCACAGCGGAGAAGACGAGGGTTTCAAAGAGAAGCAGCAGCAGTTCATGTCTGTAGAACAGTGTTCGGCTGAATAATGCGCCATCATCTAGGAGGAGGAGGCAATGAACGTATTTCTCAGAGAACGGCTCCTTTGCCAACTCAGCCATTCAGGGTTTTACTTCTGTAACAGCTGCTTTGCTTTTATTAAACCATTCTAGGCCCCAGAATTGGAGTTTGCATTACGTTTAATGACGGGTCCCTGGAACTCTACAAAGCAATTCACGGAAGCAATGCCGAATACCATTATAGAGGACGGACGTGTCGGTTGGTCCCTGGAACTCCATGTCCATGACCTGCTCCAGAAAAAACTTGTCCTTAACTACATAGTCCATCTCTTGGTGCCTCTACAATGGGGGTGGGGAAGAATGAAGTATGTTAGAAATAGCTTGATTCAGGATGAGCCAAATATATTTGCAATCACACCTGAGCCTGAATGAAAACATTCCGTGTTAAATAGGAAAGGGTGGCTATCCTTGATGTTTAATTGTCCTGTTGCAAACCGTTGCCATTTGTTCTCTGTTTTCTCCCCATTCGCACAAGACAGGAGGTTCTGGCTACATGGAAAAGAAGCCTCCACGGTTGGAACCGCCCTTGCACGTAAATCCCCAGCATAACATACATTTAGATGAATTCCAAAATCCACATTAATGCGATTTATTAAGTCAACCAACAGATTTGCAGGTTTTCAAGATCTCTAGACCTCTTCAGGCAGAGAAAAAAGTTGGAGTTGGGAAGGACGGAAGGACGAAGGACGGACACACTCACCCACAGGGCTGATTGGTTGAGATCATAGTGTCTGCTTGAAATGGAAGACACGGTGTATCAGGCCCAGTGTCAGTGCAAACCACAGGAAGTCCACAAGTAGGACTTGTGTATGACTGCACCCTGCTGCCCATGCTCCCCAGCAACTGCTCCACATAGGCACTGTCTCACAGCCAGTGGGACCAGAAGCTGCTTAAAGCCTTCTCCATTCATTGCTCCAATCCCCTTGGAGAGCCACCCAAATTGCTGGCCATCTTGACATCTTCAGCAAACGAATGCCATAGTTCGAGGAAGAGCTGTGGGCATTTTAAGACATTTCCAGCGGCTGCCTGAAGCTTCTAGGCTTCACCTGCAGTCCTTGCAGCTGCAGATCTAGAACTCTCAGAAGGCTGCAAATTTTTTTGTCTAATAAAGGTAACTAATATGGATTTTGGAATTTTCCTGATGGCCAATATCTAGCTACAGCTGCCTTTTGGCTGGATAAAGGCAGCCAGTGACTCACATGTTCAAAGAAGGAGACCAGGAAGCGATTCAAGGTATAGTATCCTTTTAGCCTTTGTTCATGAAGGTCAGACTGTGCTCGGAGGCCTCGTGGAGTCTGCCCAAGAAAAAGTTTGCAGGCTTTAAAAATCCAGGCTAGACGAACCACAGCACAGAGGCAAAACAAAACAAAACGAAAGGCGTTTTCTTTCAGAGAACTTTGACAGCAGGGGCCATGGCTCAATTTGCACCTGCTGTGCCAGACGGCACATGTCCACGCATGGAGAGTGATTTCAATTAGAAGAAGAGGCAGGTGGGGAGAAATGGAAGAGCCACATGCCGCCTCACAAGGCCCTCCCTGCTCAAAGGAGCTGGGTGAACAGAAACTCAACTGAGGTTTACTCCTGATTAAGAAGTTGTGGGTCTTGCTGCAGCTTCAGGATAAATCGATCCTGAAAACATCTCAAAACCAACAAACGCATCAGAACATTTCAATATACCAAGTTTTTAAAAGTTCGAACAACTAAAACAACTTCAATGCAAATTAGAACTAGTAACTGCCGACATGTCCTGTCTTCTACTAGTAAATGCTTGACTCGTACATTCAACGAACAATTGCTGGCAAGTAGGATTAGGGAGCGTACCTCCGTGAAAGACTGGGTCACTCGGTCATAGAGCGCCCGCATCCGTTCTGTGAGAAGCACCTCAAAAGTTTGCACGTCAGAGTTGGGTTCCAGTCCTCTCAGAGGGCAAAGGTTTTCCTAGGAGAAGCATCAAAGGGGAGGGAAAAGGGACGATCACAGGAAGGCAGAAAGCAGTGGGAAGGGTGGGGAGGACCATGCAGAACCAAAGCCCCTGTGAAATGGCAGACAAACATGGAACTGACAAGCTGATTTGATGGGGCCAAAGCTGAGACCCCTCCTTCCCAGCTGCATGAGCCGATGGTTAGAAAGACTGAGGAAGGAAGGAAGGAAGGAAGGAAGGAAGGAAGGAAGGAAGGAAGGAGAAAAGACGTTCCCAAAAGCCATGCTTACTTCCTCCTTCCTGAGATACAAGTGCATAGTTTCCATGCCCACATCTGCGTGGCCATGGACACTCCTCCCATGGATGTAGAAACCGTAGCATCTGTGCGTCAAGATAAACACAGACACCTGTAGGAAAATGAGACACAAGGAGAAAATAAAGCAGAGCAGTGCAGCTATTTGTAAGAGAAAGCCTGCATCAAAAGCTCGGCATAGCTTGCACCCCTGGGGACCCCCGAGAGCATTCCCGGAGGTGCAGAACTCACCGCGGGGTGAGACAAAGGCTTTTGGTGGGGGAAGGGGCTGACCTTCCCATGGCCAGGCATCCTTGCGAGCATTTCAAGAGCCAGGTTAACCCCTTTCCCTTCCACGCAATATTTTTGTTACAAACGCATCTTTATTATTTGTCCAGGAATGTACATATAGTGCCTATGGATCAATGGCTGGATACTTTTTATATGGCAAACTTCCACTCCGTGGGGTTTTTAAGCAATCTGGAGCAGGGTTGTTTGTTTGGTACTTTTGTAATTGTGTCACTTCAAGTATTTCTTAATGGTTCTCCTATATTTTTTTATAGTCATCACCACCAAAACCCTCCCTGCCATCTGCTTTTTATTCAAATGGAAGAGTTGCTTTGCAACATCTAAATAAATAACACGTGGGCAACTAGAATGCCTGCACAGAGCGGCATTGGCAGGCTTGGGCAGGCCCCCCCCCCGGGGCCCCCCTGGGGGCCGTGGAAGAGAACCCCCTGGACTTGCGCCCCCCCTCAAGCAGGCGAGCCAGTGGAAGAATGAAGAGAAAGATGGCAAGACCGGCGGGCGGCACTGGGCATGCGGAGAGAGACCCAAGGCCCTCCAGAAGCTCAGAGTCAGAGCCACCCGCACAAACCGGTCAGAATCCTTCCCCTTTTGCATCCACCCGGCTTGGTCCAGCCACGCCGACAACACGCGGCCAAAAGGTTTCTCTCTGAAGGGCAGGGCTGTGACTCACATTACTCAGCGAGCAAAGATCAACGAACTGGTGGATCTTGTCCTCCACAAACCGCTCGTACAATGAGACGGAAAGCACCACCTGCGGTAAAAACACACCACATGTTCCATGCCACAAGTATACAGAAAAACATGGGGAGTGCTGTGTGTCCTCCTCTAGAGGAGACAGTCAACTTACAGCCAGCACCAGTGCCCCCGACCATCCAAATGTCCTGGGACTATAAGCCCCATCAACCCCAGCCAGTCTGGGAGTAAGCACCTTGGTAAGTGGGATCTACAGGCCCCTGGCCAACCTCCCCAACGTAGCACCTTCCAAATGTGCTGGACTATATGTCCCATCATCCCCTGGCCACCAGTGCTTACTCCCAGAGCTGACCTAGTTCTCTAAATCTGGGGTCTCCCATGTGATGCCCATGGAAGTGCCTCATGGCACCCACTGGTCTCCCTGACACTTGTAATTTTTATTTTATTTCTTAAGGATTCTACAGATTCATTTATTCATCTTTTTAAGCAGGAAAGCAGGCATCCGATCTTTATCTGGGTTCAAAAAGCAGTTTTGTGTTCAGCAGCCCCGGCACCAGCTTCTGCCCTGTATGCAGATTCTTGTCTCACTTCCTTTTAGTGCCACCGGTTTGCTTTCTGGACACGGTGTATTTTGCGACTGGCCGTGCCCAACAAGGCAGCCAGTTCATAAGAGCACCCATCACATGCTCTCAAAGTCCCGAATTTGCTCACTAACCAGAAGAAGCTGGGGAACCCTGCTCTCAAGACGAGCAACCAATCAGCAACCTCCATGTCCAGATGAAGCCCACTTGTGATCCAACGGACATCATGCATTTTCTGACACTTCCAGAAGGGAAGCCATGTTTCTTGCTGCAGCAAAAACAGGGGCTTTTCATGGCACCTGGAAGACTGATCACTGTGCAGACAAATATACACGGAGGGCATTTTGGACTAAGACAGAGTTTGCTTTGTCCCTTTTTTCCTTTCTAATTCTTCAGCATTGCTAAGTGGGATTCACTATCATGGTGTATAATCTTTTGTATTCTAGATGCTAAGCTGTTTGTTCTCTGGTGGGCAAGTTTGTCTGGATGAAGGTTAAGAAGTCTATTTCTGAAGACAGCAAACATTATCTGAGGGTGCCTCCTTTGGCATTCAACACGGCATTCCTTTCTCAAACCATGTTACTTGCCTAAGCACTATTTCAAAATAAGATGGTTGGCTTAGATAGACCTGATCCAGCAGAAAGGAAGTTTTTGTACACTTAGTTTGCCCAAACTCAAAGAGGAAAATGACCTGCACAATCCCCACCGCCAACCAAACTGAAGCAGCGATCCCAAACCGAAGGACTGGGCTCCATGAAGCACGGTAGGCATTTGGTCCTGGGTGCAGATTTACATTCAGGTCTCTTGACGCAAGGTTCTTCAATCCAGCCACCTGGAAAGTAACACAGAGCCAGTACGGTTACCACTTGGCTGAGCATTCCCTTTAGCGAAGACCACAGTAGTGGGCTCACTCGAACCCTCATTGTGTGTGAGGGTGACTACTAAATCAGACAAGCACTTCTGTGCAGTCAGTATGTTCCTTCAGATGGGCTATCACTGTGCAAACCACATGCCTTATCAGCTTCTGCAAGATTTCCATGGGCTTTAGCTCTGTGCTGAGACAACACCCTCTTCTTGACCTCTTGGAGCTATCCAAGGTCCTGTTTTTCTCCTATCTTGCCACTTTCTCAAGGGATGCCAAGGCTCTTTTAACAATCTGTCTGCCTCTGAAGCCCACGCAGATGCTTTCTTGCCTCCCTAGTGATATGCACACAAGGTCACATGCGCTTTGGCCGTGGACATCTCCTCGTTCTCAAGGTCGTCTCAAATCCAGAGCTCTCGCTGCCAGGAGAGAGCAGGAGGGACTGCATAAGCAGATACTTCGTTTGCTTCACCTCCCACTCACCTCCAAAAGCAGCATGACAGCAAACAACTGAAGCAAGGGGTTCACTTTCCTATGGGTCTGGATCTCGTTCCACTCATTAGCTATCAGAAAAGTTCTCCAAGCGCTTGCAGAGCAAGGAGCCCTCTGATCTCCTGGAACAGGGGAGGGAGGGAGGAAATAACACGACGAAGCAGAAAACAATCGTTTTTTCTTTGAAGACTCCACATGAGCTTATCGGATTCTTGGCAAAGTGCAAAGCTCAACACCCCTGGGCTTCCTTGAGCCCTCGCTTATGTTAATTTACCTCTCCCGATATGAAATCGTTATGATCCGAGGCAAACTGCTTCCTGGAACAGGCACCTGGCGATTTCCCAGAAGTACCAAGGGCCTTGAAGTGATTTAGCAACGCTAATTAAACAAGCAAGCATCGCACAACAGCTGTGCGATGTGCCGCAGCAGCTATTCCACCCTCGTTTTTCGGGGAGGAAAAGCTTTTGATCCTCACAAACGCCCTCCAGTTAATCCAGCACCAAGCCCACGGTGCCAGAGGGCCCCAGGTCCCCTCTGCCAAGTCGCAGGCAGCCCCATGGTTACCCAAACAAACACTGCCGTTTGGATGCTGTGAGGTTTAGCTTACCAGTGGGGTGGCGACACATGCATGATTATCGTCACTATTACTATTCTGATTCTTGTTGCTCTGTATTTCCGTCCTGCCTTTCTTCCTCTTACCAGGAACCATGGCTGCTTACGCCATTTTCATTTTGTCCTCACAACAACCACCCTGTGAGGTAGGTTCAACTGAAAGGCAGCAACCGGCCCAGCTTCACCCACTGGGCTTCATAGCTGAGTGAGGACTAGCACCCGGATTCCTTTTAGTCCAATACTCGTAACCGCTGCACCACACTGGCTCTCGAGAGGCAGGCAAAGTTAGAAGGGTGCTCAGAACTAAGAGCCAGTGTGGTGCCGTGGCTGAGAGCACGGGACTGAGACTCAGGCGATCCAGGTTCGAGTTCCCGCTCAGTCATGGAGCCAACTGGGTGACTTTGGGCCAGTCACAGACTCTCAGCCCAGCCTACCTCACAGGGTTGTTGTTGTGGGGATAAGATGGAGGAGGAGACTGATGTAAGCTGCCTTGAGCCCTTTGCAGGAAAAAGGCAGGATATAAATCAGAAAATAAATAAATAAAAACCAAAATGGCTGAGTGTTAAGTTAGCCGTGGTTATGGGAGACCGAAAAGCCTTTGCATGGCTCCTCCTAGCCAATCAGGGATTTGTGGGAAGACCCTGATTGGCTGGCTGCCTCGGGAGCTCACTCCACACGTGGATGCTGAACCCAGACTCTACTCAAAAACCTCCCAGGACCACAAATTAAGTCCAAATTCCAAATACAAGCAGAATGCCCACATTATGAGACTGAGGCTACTTTTGAAGATATTTGTCTTGCATTTTCTTGTAGCTTAAACCAACTGGTGTTTTACTGTCTTCTGCTACATCCACAAGATGGCAAATTGGCTATGATGGCTAGAGAGGTCAGTGGCCCAGACACTCAAGAACACCAAGGCAAGGCATTTGTCACACAACAGGACAAACACCGCAAGCACGTATGGCCTCACTGGGACACGAATCAGCACCGCACCCATTTGTATCGTTTTCAGAACGTCTTTTGTCCTGAACCAGCCATTTCTCCGTCACCCCCTGGGCTGAATGCATGCTGCAAAGCAAAGGCTTGCACACAAAGGGCACGCGACCCTGCGAAAAACAAAGGCAAACCGGGACCTCGAGGTGTTTTCAGGGTCCGTTCTTCTTTCGGCTTCTCCCAGTCAATCAGGAAAATGGAGAGGGTCAACTGTGTTATCAAAACATGGATGAGGTCCAAGCTCTGGAACAAAAGCATCCACAGAGGCCGAGTGCCTCAGCGACACAAAGGCCAGCAGTTCTGCTGAGCTGTACAGCAGGCAACATCCTCCAGGCAGGCCAGAGTGGGTGGGCCCTTAGACGACAATTCCCAGAGTTTCCCAAGGGCTGTCCTGGTCGGGGCATGCACAATCCCCACTTGATCCTCACAACAACCCTGTGGAGTAGGCTGGGCTGGAAGTCAACGACTGGCCCTTAAGTCTCTCAGAGAGTTCCTGGCTGAGTGGGGACTGAGGCCCAGATCTCCCGAGGCCCAGTCCTGTGCTCTTGGCACGACACCCACCCAGACGCAACCTATGCCAGCTTAGAAACCCCACAGAGGACCAACACATCCCTGCAGGGTGCAGTGCCGAACTGCTCTGGCTCCCCAGCCCTGTGATGCCCGACTCTGGAGGCTGCACCTTACCTTCAGTGCGAGAGCACACAGCAAGTAGATGGTGAAGTTGGTCTCTGTTTGGCTACCAGCAGCGGGAAGTGTCACTTCCACTGCAGAAGACTGTTGCCCCTGGGGAAGGAGGTTTAAGAGGAGAAAAAAGATGTTTCTTGGGGCAGTGGAGGGGAACCTTTGGCCCCGGGGGACACTCCTGGCCCCGCAAGGCTCCAGTCCGACTTTCCTGGGCCCACCCCCTTCCCGAGACACCATCATTGGGGAATATCCCCATTCCAAAAGTCCCTGCGAAGTCTACTTTCAGGCAGTATTTTGGTCCCACCCTTTTCCCTTTGGCACCCACCCCCTTCAGAGCATCTCTGAAATGGAGTTCGGCCCCCAGGCTGGAAGGGGGTCGCCTCACCCTTCGGTAATTAGCTGGGGTTGGCTCACATCTCATCAAAGCTTCTTCCTCCCACGCTGGCTACTGCGGCAACAACCTGCAGAGCCTAACTAGGGGGCATACAGAAGCTGCCCCTGGTTAGGCCGGGAAGGAAGCCCCCGCACAGAAATCCCCTCTAAAAGCAAGAACACGTGTTGCCGCAGGTGCCTGCAGTGGCATCCGAGGCCCACGACTTCCTTACCTTGAAAACGATGAGCCAATAAATGCCAATTCCCAGAGAGACCAAGAAAAACACATTTGCCAAGCAGCCGGCAAAGTAGGCAAGGAACTTCAGCACAGCCTGCAGTGGAGGAAAGCTCCTTCTCAGAGGGGAAACGCCTTGAGGGAGCTGCATCGCCATACAAGCTCAGCCCCACGCATACCGCTTCCTATCCCAGTATTAGGAAAGGATGACAAAGAACAGCCCTGCAGAAAAGTTCCCAGCTGGGCTGTTCATATGAATCCAGGGAGGCGGACCGAGTTGCGGGGAACTAACCATCAGATTGACGTTCGGGAGTCGAGATCGCCGGGCCCAGCTGCTGGTCTCCAGCAAGGCACAGAGGAACGCGAGAAATCCCAGGACCCCAAACGCAATCTGCCAAGACGGAGGGGAGAAGCCCGTGGCTTTCGCGGCAGCGCTCCGTCGAAGAACACATGAAGGGAAACACTGCATCGCCTTCTACTTTGAGACGGAACGAGCGGTGCTGTGCAGAGATCTCAGGTTCGCGGGGACATCCCCACCCAAGAAACGTTGCTACCTGTGGAGCTGAGCAAGATCTCACATGGCCCCCCACAAAAAGCCAGCTCTCTTCCGTGCTGATTCCAGGATGGGATCCTCTCCTGTGCCGGAGGCCTGCAAGCCAGCCAACCGCATGCACCAACTCTCCCTCCAGCACCCCTGCTGCCTCCAAGCCTCTGCTGCTGAGACCACTACTTCACGCTGCCTAACAGTAAGGCCAGCCCCGAACGTCCAAAGTAGGGATATACTTCAACATGCAAGTAATACCTTCAGGAGTAAAACTTTCAGACAGGGAGTGAAGGATGGGATGGGGAACTGGGCGAAAAGGAAGCATTCCTTGCCCTGCATCCCCAGACTATATTAGGGGGCCTGGTTCTTTTCCCCCTAAAGAAAGAGATACAGCCCATCCTAAGCTCACTAATAAAGAAAAAGAAAACTTTTAACAAACAGCTACCCTTCTACAGTTTTGCCGTGGCTGTTACTCACATCTGTAGTTTGCTGGGCCGTTCCAGGGTCTTGAATATAAGCAACGGAAAACGCCACCTGTACAGAAAGACTACAATGAGAAGCGGCAAAGGAAAGCAGAAAAGCAAGTAAGCGGATGCCTCCGCTGCACGTCACCACTGACAAACCCCGGGTTCGAAGCCGACTCTGGCATATTCAGCAGTTTCAAAAAATGCAGAATTAGCCAAGGCTCGATCTGAGCTTTTGTGCATCTCCCTCACATGAGCCAGGAAGTTTTGACCGTGTTACAGAATGTTCTTCATGGTCTTCTTTCCATCATTTCATCCTACAGGTGCTTTTCTTTGTAAACATACAAACAAGGTCGCTCTGCTCACGGCCAGGCCTTAGAACAGGCCATCCATTAATGACTTCGCTATAACCTTATGTAGCTGGACCATTTCCTAACTGTACACTTGCATCCAGTGAAATTTGGCCTTCCTAAGGCTCTGGAGCAGTTTGCTGCCGAGCTTTGGCAACAAATCGCCAATTCTGTTGGCAGCGCAGCAGGAATGCAGCTTGCAGAGGCTGCCTGAGAGTGGAAAATGGCCCTTGGACCCTGCAAATTTTCCTTTGAAAATCCTTTTAGGATCACTTGATGCAGGGAGGTCTCGGGCCTAAGAGTCTGCTGCAGGCTCCCGAGACGCACGCACTGCTTATATTCAGACTTGGCTTGCACTGCAGCGGGGCCAGATACTGAAAAGGTCAGGTCTTCAGGCCCGCAGGACAGAAAAGAATGTGGAATTCTGCATTTGTTTAGCTGTGTTCTAAATTTACATTCGCTGCAGCCCGTCTCTTGGGAGGGCGTCTTTACAGGCCTCTGTCTCCTGAGAACACCCCTCTGTGTTCAACAGGATGTAGGGATGGGGAAAGGAAGATGCTGGAGTTCGGAGAAAAACCTCAGAGCAGAAAGAGCCAAGCTGGGGAGTGGGGGGGGATGCTGGTAGGGATCCTCTGGACTTTTACTTCAGCAAGTGCCTGTGTGGACGGAAGGGTGATGGGGCTGCAGGCTGCCCAGAAATACGGAGCACTGAATACAAGTTTTGGGGATCCAGTCAGAGCAGGCTGCCTTGTAAAGTCACCTCTGTCCGGATGCCGGAGAGGCCGCCCCCTTCAAGCAGGTGGATGAGAACCCCAGTGTTCACAAAGCTCGTTTTCATTAGCACCTGCCGGAGGCCTGGGGGAAAGGAAAGCTTGAAGATTTGGGTCAGATGCAGGGAGAGAAATCTTGTTGTTTCAGCTGCTACAGTGCATTCGCTGCTGCCGCTGGGGGCCGGGGATGGGAGTGCGAGACGAGGCTTCTTCCGCTGTGTGCTCACACACACACACACACACACACACACACACACTTGCCTGGGCGACTCCAGCACTGGGGTACCCAGCATATTTCACCGTCAACAGGAAGGGAGGGTTATCTCCAGGAGCATTGGTGGGCAGGAACACGCTGTAAAGGCCCAAAAGAGAAAACGGAGCTGGAGCGTGTGGAAGAAAATTAACAGAAGGGCAAAGCCAGCCATGAGAGGGGCCAGTGATGGATCTTAATCCTCTATTCAGCTGCAGTGGAGGAAAACGTGCTAATTGGGCATGAGGCAGCCCAGGATAAAGTATCTCACATGCTCTCAGAAGCTCTGCAGGCTGATGGGGCACCTTCGGAGTAAGCTCACCTCAATTTCTGGGAATGGAATTTACGTGCACAATTTTTGCCATGTCCACAGCAGCTGTGGGAAAGTTGAAGCATCCCTGGGAGGGACTCACCCACCCATGGTCCTTGCCTCCCGGGCTGCATTCCAGGGCAGCTCCTCTTGCCACCAAAGACAGTCAAGGCTGGGCCCACTTCTACCTGAGCAGCAATTCTGCGGCGAGCGTGACCGATCCTGGAGCATCCGTCAGGTTCCCCCTCCTCCCTGACAGCCCGTCAACAAGAAAGAATCTTCTGAGCGCTCGAGAACCTAAGGATGCTAACAAAGAGAGGGAAAGATGGGAGAAGCGGTTTCAGCTTTTATTATCAGAAACATAGAGACAGAGCGAGTCAGAAGGGGTCTCCTGGGTCATCTAGTCTGACCCCCGGCTCCAGCCGGCTCCGCTCACGACAGGCCCCCCATGCATTATTATCTCAATCTTGCACTGTCGTGCCTATCCAGAGGAAGAGAAGGCAACATGGCTTCTGTCACAGCTTGCAAACACTAAACCAAAACACTTTTTAAGAGAAGCCATTTCAAATGTTACTGCACTTGAAGCAGGTGGGAATTTTATTATTAATATTTATATGCTTCCTTATTGGCTAAAAAGCCATCATGGAGGGACGCAGCTGTAAAACAGCAAAACTGTGCAGCAATAAAGACAAGAAGATAAAAGTCAGGCATTTTTTTTAATTTTGAAAAATTGAAACTACTTTAAAAAGCTGAAAGGAATAGATAGTCTTGACTGCTTTCAAAAGGCAGAGAGTGAAGGGGTCAATCGTAATTCCTTAGGAGTGCATTCCAGTTTTACTCAGGAGAAAGCCCTTTCCCACGTATCTCAGGAACTGTTTTCGGTGGCCGCCGGAAATACTCTTCCGTTTTAGCGTAAAGCTCTCCCTGCCAGCAGCTAAGCTGCAGGAGAAGCATTTCCTCCCTCCAAAGCAGGGAGAAAACCATGCAAAAGCCTGCAAAGGACTGGAGGCTTGGAAAAGCACCAAGGCCCTCCGAGGATTCTGGAGGGAAGGGCCGGGTTTGGTCTGCGGGGCTGATCCTGTGCACCCCGGCATGGTGCCGCCACATCGAAGCAAGCACTTCTCCAAAGGCGGTGACGGGGCAGCTGCAAGTGCAACACAAACAGCATGCACACTCAGCAACTTCTGCAGACAGGAACACGAAGAGAGAATTAGCTCTGCGTCCGCGATTCAGAACCAGAATGGCAGAAGGGAGAAGAGAGATTAGGGAGGGAATGTACGCAGGGGCTGGACGGAGAGAGGAAATGGGAAGGCACAGCAGGAGAGCAGGGCCTTATGTGGGTTCCACTCCCCGCACTCTTTGACCTGACGCCTGGAACAAAGGGAAATGGGCCTCACCTGGGCGACTTGCTTGTATCGCAGGGTTGACGACGGGGACCGGCCATAACTGGGGATTCCCTTTTTCATCCTCAAACTGCACGAACAGCTGATAGAAGATAGGCTCGGGAACGCTCCTCAGCAGCTCTGGGACTCCGAGGGTGCACTGTGGCAGCAGAGGCAGGCAAGAGCACTGAGCGGACGTGGCCACACGCCGGGAGATGTGCTCACACGGCGCTGTGCAAGCATCCCTCCGCTCGGCCACTCAAAACACACTCGACGCGGAACCAAGGTGGCGGCCTTCTGCCGCTCCAGATGTTGTCGGATTCTAACTCATGTCATGGGATTTGCAGACCGGGAACATCTGGGGAGGCATAGGTTCCCCGTGCCTGCCCTAGAGCACAGCAAATTCCATTAAAAACAGCCAAGGCAGCAGTCCTGTCCTCTCCACCGTCATTGCTAAGTTCTTTCCACTGGTATTTCGTCTGCGGTGTTCCGCTTGGGCATTTGGAAGGGGCAGTGTCTGACATGTTGTGGGGGGGGGGGTTAAGATGCGTGGGTGTTTTGCACGTGGGCACACTTCTTTGAGCATCACCTTCTCGTTTTCTGTGAAATGGGTCTTTTGCTGTGTGTGGTGGGAGCAAATATGCAGTTCGGCCTTTGGGCTCAAACACACCCAGGCCTTCTCGTCGTCAAGGACCTTGTCCGAAGCGGGTGCTGGAGCAGAAAACGGTGAGTTCAGAGGAATGGTTTTATGTTTCGGGCTCAGGCCCTACCTCTGTTAACGGGGAAAATTCTTGGTGGCAGAAGTCTGTCTCCCGGGAAATGGGTGTAACGCGACTTGCGACGGCAAGCTCGAACGGCCGTTTTGTGAATGCCAGAGGCCCTTTCTGCGGTAGTCCCTTTGAAAGGACACCTAAGACGCTCCTTCAGATGGGGGCCTCTGACATCAGGGAAAGAGTGTGCGAAAGCATCTTGCACCGGTGAAGCCCAATAAAAACAGGTATCGGGCTACCAGGTCAAGGATGCCAACTACCTCCAGTAGTTAGTTCTATTTGCCACCTCTGCCTTTAACGCCCCATCTTTTTCCCATGCTGTCAATGAATCTTCAGCAAGGAGAGGCACGAAAGCCAACACTTACAGACTGACTGTACGGCGTCCCAAACATGAAGGCCGCATCCAGTACCGCTTGACTGTTTGGACAGAGCTAAGAGGAAGGACAAACGAGCAAAGACAAATAAAGCCGAGCGTCAGAAAGGGATTCAGTCAACTTGGACTCCCGGGATGCTCATGCAATCAACATGCAAATTCAGAGAATTGCGCTGCACGGAAAGATGCAAATGAGCTGCAGCAGCCCTTCCAACCTGACGCCTCCCGGTACGTGCTGAGCTGCAGCTTTTGCCAGTCCCAGTCAGCATCGCTGAGAAGCAGAGAACAAACTTGCCAGCGTGTGGAGTGGAACCCGACGTGGAGGGAAGCTAATCGACTCACCTGCAACGCTGCCCCTCTCGCATCTTCCCAGCCCAAGAACACCCCTTGTGCATCGTATTTTATCATCTTAAGGTCGATCTGTAGAGAATGAGGGATAATTTAGGGAAGCTCCCTAAATAAATAAATAATACAGTCTTGATATTACAGGCCTTTGGTTCCACACATCTTTGGGGTTTTTAAACTTTGGAGCAGGTGGTCTATTTTCCACACAAGACATAGGACCGACTGCCCATTACCTGGACCGCAGAGGTAAACACCTGCGAAAAAAGATCTTCGTGTTCAAGCTTGTCCGGAGCCTCACATACTGCAACCTGATATGAGCATATTCCACATTTGTGGAAAAGGATCCAGGTTGCTCCATGGTTCAAAGAGCCCTCTCTGTAGATTCTTAGAGATACCCCATTATTACATCCGATTTTCCATACCTGAGGCCTTGTATTAAGCACAGGGCAAATGTGCCCACACACCAAGCCAGCGACTGTGTCCCAACTTGACTTGCCTTAGCATTCTTTCTAAAAACCATCGGAGGAAAAGGTTGTCCGGAATGGCCGTACCAAAGCTTTGGAAGTTCTTGGCTTCTGAAAAGAAGAGCCAGGGGTGTTTCACCAGGTGAAAGCTAAGACTGCAACCCTATATCCAGCTGATCTGGGAGTAAGCCCCATTGAACTCAGGGGTCACACCCCATCAGTGGGAATGATGGGGTTCCACTGAGAAATAAACAAGAGTCCAAAAGTCAAGGTGGATGGGCAGGCGAGACACTGGGGGCTCCTGGATTTGGTGTTGTGAGCCCCCTTCTGAAACAGATGTTTCATGCCAGGCATGGCATCAGAATTTTGCCACAAGATTAGATTCATGGAGGATCTTTAGAGAAATCACTTGCTTGGAACTGGGATGAGACAAAGCAAGCGTGTTTACATCAGCAGTATCTTAAAAGAGCGGAGAACCTACAGTTCTGAAAGACTCCATAAATCATATCTGGAGAAAAGATCTTGAGTGGCTATCCCAAAGAGGGACATTATCCACGTTAAGCGTCTCGGATCTTGCACCAAACTGACGGGACTTGCGAAGCCCTCCGGCAAGCGGCACGGCAGGCCGGCCAGCGGGGCTGCCCTCAGACATGTTGCCATTTGAGCCGAGGGACAAGATGGGTTCCCAGTCCCCCTTTCAAAGGCAGCCGACCACGCTGGGGGCACAGGCCAAGCTGCATGGCTCACGGTTCTCGCTGCCGCCCTCCGGCATCTGCCGCCTGGAGTCACGGCCTCATTCGCCCTCACGATGGGGCTGGCCAGGCAGACAGCTTCAACCAGATCCCATCCCCTCGGCCGCAGGGACGCTGGTCTGATCGGCCATCACGTGACTGCAGAGCCGACGCTGCAACAGGGGCGACCGAAAGACTCTAGCAGGGATGCCGCACAGCCGCAGGCCTCTGCCGGGGGTGGAGATATGCTCACCTGGCCTGTGTGTAGAGGTCGTAGGCCCTGTTTTGCAAGGAGAAGGCTTCCAGAATGACCATATTGGTGAGGACTTGGCAGGCGCTCTCATTGCAAGTGTTCTGCGGAGCAAGGAAATCGAGACAGGGCCAAGTCGAAGGGGAGACAAAAATTATCTTCTGCACTGGCGGGAGAGGGGGCTGAGAGCAGGGCGCCCGCCATCAGGCACTTATAATGACCTCCAACCCAGCACTCTCCAGATGTGTAGGACTTCAGTTCCCATCATCCCCACAGCCACCTGGGGAAAGCTGGCTATCCAGGCGCCCTTTGACAAATCAGTTTGGACTTGTGTTGTCCTTCTTCAGATGAAATGCCCCGGGGGGCAACACAAGGGGGGGGGCAGCCACTTACGTTGCAAGCCAGGAAACTAGCGTCCAGAAACAGGGCCTGCCACAGCGTCCCGGGTGCAGGCAGGTTGCTCTGTTGGAGGGAAAGGATTTGGGGCAGGGGAGAACAGGCCATGTCAGGCGCATTTCTCCCCGCATAGGAGGAGGGGGGTGGGGGGCGAGAGGATGTGTTCTTACACAGCCAGGGCAGTTGCGAAGATGCGCCCGCTCATTTGTCTGGTTGGGTCCAGCTGCACAAACACACCCCAAGCCTACAAAGAGAAGACGCACAACAGCAGGTCAAGGGGGTGGCGAGTCCTCTCCCTGCAGCGTAATTCTCTCCTCGGTGGAGACTGCCACCGTTCGGTTCATGCCCTGAGCCACAAGCGGATAATCCGAACTTCACCCTCTTTAAAAAATGCAAGCTGCGAATTCCCATGGAGGAGCAGCTGTTCCGAGGCTCAAACACTCACAAACGCGTTCGGCAAACGTGGAAGCCCACAGATCGGACAGAATAATATCAGGCCATCTGGAACGGAAGGGGGAAAGGACCACTCTGGGTTCAGACCGGACCGGTGGCGTGGATGAACGCGGCCCGCCGTGCCCCTTCCCCCCCACCGCAGCCCCCTCCATCTCCGCACAGATGAAGATGGCTGGATCCGACTCTCAGAGTATGCGCTGCACCCAAATTACTGACACGTTGCTCCCGGTTTTAGTATGAGCACCAGTGGCTTGTCAGCCGCGTCTGGGCCACGAAGACGCCAAACTCACAGCGTAGGCGCCCTTGGACTGTGATCGCACAAGATGCCTTGAGTAACTGTGGGTGGAAATGCAGCTGAAGCTTGCTTCCAGCACACTTAACGCATGGAGAGCTTGATGAGAGGCACGCGGACACCGTGCTCCAAGTCCGGGGCCTTCCTTTGAGTGCCAACCCCACGGGAGGTTTGGGGAGTGGTTAACAAGAGGCAGGGCCTTCTCGGTGGGGGCTCCCCATCCCTGGGCCGACCACCCCAGGTGCCCCCCCACCATCTTTTCAGTGTCATGTTGAGATGATCCCCTTTGTGCAGAGGCTTCCAGAGATAATCTTGAATATCCAGGCGTTTCTCTTTCACAGTCATAGAAAACATAGAAACAGAGCGAGTCAGAAGGGGTCTCCCAGGCCATCTAGTCTGACCCCGGCACCAGCCGGCTCCGCTCACGACATGCCCACCATGTGGACGTCCAGCCTATCCCCGCACCGATGGGGCCTCAGCCACCTCCCATGGAAGCCCATTCCACACCCTCGGGGTCCTAACCGTCAGGATGTGCTTCCTGGAAGTGTCATACTTCACTTCTTTTTGAAAATTTTAGGCTCCTTTTTTGGGGGTAAAGTTTTATGGCATTTTTAATGCATTTTATTGTAGTGCTGCTTCTGTGCTGCTGTCAGTCACCCAGAGAGCTTTGGCTATTGTGTGGTATTAAAACGAAAATAGTCGCAACGTGAACACCCACCAGCAGCAGCACCGGCAACACGGAAAGAAGGGATCACTTAGACTGGGGTGCCAAGCCAGCCACTGTGGTCCGAAACGGAAGGTTTGCACATACTAGAAGGGATGCGAAGACAAACACTGGCCCAATGCTTGTGCGTACATGTTCCTTGCATGGGAAAGTGTGTGCGTGCATGCACACACACACACACACATCCCTCCTGCAATGCGAGCAAGCACCCGGTGTGGTCCCCAAGGCGCACACACCTAGGCATTGCCTCCCACTGAGAAAGGCCCCACGGAGAACGTCGCTCCGACTTTTCTGCAGCCCAGGAGGCCGGAGCACAAGCAACGCCAAAGGCATTTCTCGACGAGGGTCTAACGCACGTGCCGATGGCAAGAGGGGGCCGGTGGCTTGGGCTCGGGAGAGCTGCACGGACGGCATGGAGTCTGCCTCAGCCTTCCCCGGCTGCAAACGCGGCCCTTCCTCCCCAGAGAGCTGCTCCTGGCGCTCAGGGGACACTCCTTCAGTGCCCAAGGCGGCCACTTGGCCACACCAAGCCGCCTTCTGTGCACGTGCACACACTAGTATCAACTCACAAAGACCAGAACAGCTGAGGGGACGCGCTTTAAGAAGGAAAACAGGCGGACTTCTAAAACGTCCAAAGCCCAGGCCCTGGACATGGGGGTTTCTCTCCATCACCACCATCTGCCACTCACCGTCCGGACTCGTGATCAGCTTCGGGGCACATGGGACACACTGTCCACTCTCGAGAGCAAAGAATGTGTTGGTTCTGCATGTGCGGGGCAGGCCTTGTGTGCAGCATCCAGGTGGAGAAAGCGCCCAGAGCCAGGTGAGGAAGCAGGCCGCCAAAGGCAGCATTTCTCCGAAGGTCTTCCGCTCTGCTACGGCATTCCTCTCCCCAGGGAAGGAAATCCAGACAGCCGCGGAAAAGCGGGACGGGCGACCTGTGTGTACAGGCGGGCGCGCCATGGCAACCGAGCACAGGTGTGGCTTTTATGCGAAGCAGCTCCACCTGCTGGGAACCCCGGTGAATTCTGGGACATCCCTTAGAATCTGGACATCACGATGCATCAGGGTTTTGAGGTGCACCCTGTGAGCCTCGGAACCACCATGCCGGGCCCACGTGCTGTCAGACAGCGGAGAACCCCCTCGCCCGAGGATTAAAGCAGAGCCCCCCCGAACTCCGGCAGGTGCCAGGCCAGAATGGCTGGCTGGGGCTCTCTGGGTTTGAGAAAATGGCATAAAAGAACGTGCCATAATCTCATGTTACACTTCTATACTACCCAATAGCTGAAGTTCCGTGGGGGGTTCCCCTCAGTTCAGAACAGAACATAAAATACACTATAAATCACAGTATAACAGAGAAGCACAAGCAAAGCAAAACCTAGCAGCCACCCCAAGATTTAAAATACACCAAAGGAGTGGAAGTAACAGAAAGCCAAACGTTCCTGGGAAAATAGGCAGTTTTCACCCACCACCAGAAAAAGCACCACACTGGCGTCAGGTCCGCCTCTCTGGGAAGCTTGTGCCACACGAATTCAGGTGCCACAGCAGAAAAGGCCCCGTTCGGCGGCCACTCACCTCACATCCTTGGGCAGGGGCTCCTGGAAGGCGGCCACGGAGGACGATGCCAAGGCCTCCGGATAACGCATTGACTGCTTCCGTGTCACACACGGCCAGACTGGCTACAAAAAAGGAGTTCCTTTTACTCTGTTAGTGACCGTTCCACCTGCCACCGTGGCAAGGACGGGCCACAACTCCACCACCACCCTCGGGTGCAGGTACAAATGGATTGCTCCTTCCGCAGCACCTGGTTGTTGCATCCCACGCACTGGTGTGCGGTTCTGCTAAGTGCACAGAGCTGCATTTAGAGCATTTTGCTCCTGTTCTTCGGCCAGAGAGGCGTCCAGAGAGGGCAGGAGGTGCTGGCCCACTTCTACAAGTGTGTCTGACACAAGCCACACCAGACAACTCGGGGCAGCCTTGGAACCAGGGGGACGGCAGATGATGAACGGTTCTGCTACGGAGCTCGTATTTGTTCTCCATCCCAGTAAGGCCCAGGTCCATTCCGCCACTGCAGACGAAGAGGAACTGGGGGCGGCTGGATGGGCAGAAGATTTCATTTCCACTCTGCTACAGGTCTTTCTCCAAAAGAGGAAGCACCCCTGCAGCTATACAAAAGCTTCGGGCTCCCTATGAAATGGCACCCCAGAAAAATCCAGGACGCCGGCTCCCGTGCGCAGCAGAGGTTGCTTTGCTACCCTGGGACTCCAGTCACAAGTCTGCTCAGCTCCATGGCCACTTCCACGCTGTCACAACCTGAGACCGCGAAAACTGGCCCAGCAAAGCTAAATACGCTTAAATAAAGGGCTCCTATTTAAGGCTCAGCCTGGCCCTCTCTGCGTTGGAGCAACACAGAGACAGCTCCCTGCCTTCTAGCTTCCCGTGGGGCTGAGGCATACTGATCTGTCTTCCCCGTGAAATCGGCGCTGCTCGGATCTCTGCGAAGTTCTAACCTCTGGCAATTCCCTGACACGCCAGTGACAACGTCACACACGCCACAAAGCCCCTGCTGCTATAGTACATACACTGCATTGACAGGACGGACGCTGCTGCTGCTGTGAGATCCGCGATGAAATGCACGGAAGAGAGACTGGATTTGCTTCGGGTTACAAACAACGTTTTATTTCCGTTTCCCCCATCCGTTCATAAATCAGGTCTTGAAATGCTCTCGAATACATGAGTTAAAAACAACAATATTCCACAAAAGATACGAAAGCTGAGCTGTCTCGGTACAACACAGCAGTCACACAATCACACCCAAAATATCAGAGGGTCGCAGCACATCACATCCAAAAGAACAGAATGTGGGAAAAGATAGCTCGTTATATAAACAGAAATAGAGCAGTTTGAAATGCCATGAAACCCAGTTAGCTGTTATACGAGAGAATACACTGGAACCATTTGGCTTACAACAGCATCATATGGGAATCCAGAGATATTTCCGGAAGAAAGGAAAGGTTCTTCACAACTCGGTATTTCTAGTGTCAGAAGAGACCCAGAGGGAGGGGGAAGAGGCACGAAAAAGATAAGGCAGGTTCATTAAGTCGCACATGATGAAAACTCAACAGTGGGAGGACAAAGGATTGGCTATGCAGGTGTCCCAGTTGCATTTCCAGACAACAGAATGGCTTCTCATTGGAAGCACAAAGAAAAATTCCATGTTAGTCAGTGCCCCGCAATCCCAAATAAAAGCCAGTCTTCCAGTTTAGTCTCCTTGAAGAGGGACCAAGTAACACCCAGCCTCATGCAGATCTTTGCATATTTAAGCATCCCCCTCAGAACGGAAATGGCTTTTCTTCGTCACACGGGGCTCACATTCGTCAAACACCCCACCCCCACGGAGGTTCAACAGCGTAATTAGGAGATCAAGATTCACATTTGCGATTTTTACAAGAGCCCTGGAGAGGTTAAGGTAGAAAAAGCCACTTGACAATATGCATAGAAGGAGATTAATACAGCCCTGCTAAACTTCACCGGACGGATAATTGTTCAGCAAATGTTTCGCACAACATGCCTTGAGTTTGCCAAGGCCTTCAGGAGTCAGTGGAGAAAGCGGGAGAAAGCAGCTTGAGATGGATGGCCATTGTCCAAAAGGATGGATTCCCACCCTACCCAGTGGTGGGAATTACGGCATTGTGCCCACTGCAAGGCAACCGCACAAATCAAAAGGCAGTCCAGAGGTTTCTGTGGGAACACACTTCTTGAACGCTTGCAACAGTGCGCAAAATTGATGCAAAGCTGTCGTGGAAGATTTGTGTTACCTCTTCACCATGGCAAAAATGGAACAGCGACCTTAAAAAGTCAAGAGTGGTCCCTACTTTAGGCAGAAATAAATGATGTGCAATTGGAATACACAGTCTAAACCAAATATGTATATTTCAGCTTAAATCTGGAGATATGAAGGACTGAGAAAATTTTTTAAAAAGTGGGAATAACTTCAAAAATAGGAAAAAAGATCCCATAATTTTTGGAAAACTGGGAAAACAGTTTTCCCCGCAACTGTTTATGGGAATCTCTCTAGGTTTTTCCCCAAGCTTTCACATCTGCATGCTGAACAAAGTTTTAACAGAACCAAAACTGATGCGGAGGCAGAGCACAGTAACAGACACGACATCGCCCAGCATTGGCTATATCAAGATATGGCCAAATAATGCAAGATTGTGGAAAGCTGATTTCTAGTGTCACAAAGTCAGGGCTAAATACACGGACTTATTGCAGCTGCGAAGGAAGCCGACTCTTTCTTTCATGTGCCCCGACAACCGAGACCGCGAGCCTTGTTCCAATCCAAAATGCCCGTTAGAGCACAAGTGGTCACAAGTCAGAGACGGCGGGAAAGACGCCCCAGAGCATGCGAGTCATTATTGCCAAACATTCCCTTCTTTTCGAGACTGCAAGGAGGTCTGGAGAGTTTCCAGGAAACGGCAAAAGCAGCAGCTAGCCAAAGAGTGTGCATCGCGGGGGTACGCACCGGCAGCGCTGCGCAGGGACGTGGTGCAGGGGAGCCAGGCAGCCGCTTCAGATTCAGTAGACGGTCACCGCCCTCTTGCCCATTCTGCCTCTGACGGGTCGAGAGAGGGTTTTTTTTAAATAAAAGGACATCAGCGGCACAAGGGCGACCTTTGTGGCCTTCTGCAACCCTGCAGATGGGCCTGACGACAACTCACAACTTTCCCAGGCAACACGGCCAACAGCTTCCCCCTGCCTCCCCAGAAACTGTGCTAGCTGGAGCCGATAGGAATGGTAGTCCAGCCCCTCTGGAGTGTGCCAAGCTGGGGACCGCTGTTCAGTAAACTGCAGATCCAGCCCCCTATGGGCTGCTCCCCTTCCTCTGACATCCCTTAACCCTTTAGAGAGGATTTGGGGGTGGGGGGAGGGGAGGAAACCTTGCAATCCTCCTTCCTTCTCCCTTCACCCCACCCCAAGTCGAACTGGCTCTGCAGTGGCCTCGGGAAGCAAGAAATCTGGCCAGAGAAAGGCCCCTTGGGAAGCGTGGAAGGGCGGGGGGGGGGGGGGGGGGGGGACCAGGCTAGTGGATGCCTGGCTGGCCGCTGAGCTGCAGGGCACGGGCTTGGCTCACAGCAGCTGGCTTCCAGGCCACACACTGGAACTTGGGAGGGCAGCCGAAATGCAGCGCTGCAGTTGCTCAGGTCGCCCTTGGGATTGCCGACTTTGCAGCTCCTCTCATTCTCTCCCCCAGTGGCTTCTCAAGGGAAGAAGATCCAGAAAGGACCCTGCATGTTTCCGAGAGCAAGATTTCGCTTCCTTGGTCAAATATGGGGCAGCTGGTGCCTTGAACAGCACTGCATCTGCGCAGCCCTCCAAGCCATATGCAGATGCCCGAGTTTTCCTTGCAGCGGCCCTTGCTAACAAGGGCAGCTCACGTGGGGCGCCTTCCCAGCCCGGGGGGGGGGGCAGGGAGGGGGGTTGGGCTCCAAACAGAGCAAGAATGAAGCACCTGCGAATCCTTCACCTGCAAAGATAGAGGTCACCTGCTCCCCAAACCTGCTCTCTTGGCGCCCTCTACTGGCCACAGAGAAAACTGCAGGGGCATGAAACGGCCTGCAAGCAGACAGAAGGTGCAGTCTAGCTAGCCTCAGGCCTTCCAGATGTGCTGGCCCACTCTTCCACACATCTGGCGGGCAAGAGGCTGGGGCAAAGCTGCCAGAGGTGCTGCAAGCAAGCAAGCAAGATGCGGGCTGAATGATCCCTGCACTGGACCAGAAACCGGCTTCAGTCAACCAAGCCATGCTTCCGCAGGGTGAGGCGCCCCTGTAAGTTTGGGGTCTCTGCCCAAGCCCTTCAGGGCCTCGGCGTCTCCTGCTGGATCTTCCAGTGTGTCAGAAGAATGCGCTCCCAGAGAGGTTCACCTGGCACTGAGCTTTTCTTCTCAGCGCCAGGTGAAAACCTTTTTATTTGAACGCTGTTTTAGAATTAGTGGATTTAAAAGTTAACAGTTGCTTTTTTTTTATTTAATTTTATCTGATTGTATTTTGCCTTACTATTTATTATTCCTATTTATTGTTACTATCTATCGATTGTTTTTATCGTTCTTAGCTTTTATTGTTGCAAGCCGTCCTGAGATGTTGTTGTAAAGGACGGCAAATAAATGCTTCAAATAAATAAATAAAAATACACTCAGCACATCACCGAGTCCTCAGACGAGCATTAAGGATGCAGTGCCCTGGAGCACCTTTGCAAGGGGTGTTGTGGCAGGAGGCAAGGAGAATAGCGCCACCCTGTCGGTCAGACTCGTCCAAAGACATGGCCAGAGGGGTTTTGCTTTCGTTTTAATGGCTACGTGAACTTCTGCACAGGAGAACACACAGAGCAACCTTCTCCAGCTGGCACAAGCCAAAGCACATTTCGGTGACAGCACCAGGACGACAGACTGCTGCTCCAGTCTTTCCCAAACTTGAGAAGCTGCACCGCCCAAGCAACTCGCTGCAGATTTTGCCTCGGGCACTGCAAAAGCTCCAAACTATTGGCACACGCAGCAGAGAAACGAGATGCGACAACGTTCTCATGGGTTCCTCCAGGATCTTTCTTCCCCGGACCACGTGGGAAAACAGGACCCTTCCAAAAGTGGCAAGCGCCTCTCCTGAGAGCTTTCTCGGAGCCCATCTCTGTAGCACACAAGAGAGCAGCACCAGGCAAGCGTTTTCTGGCTGCGTCAGAACCTTCTGCAGATGGAAAGGACTCGGCCAAACGGCTGCGGGATGTTCTGCAGCTGGGCCTCAGCAGCTGCTGTTGGCTCGCCAGTCTCCAAAGACACGCCGGCTCCGCGGCCCCGTTCCTGCCAGCCTACAAAATATATTTCCTTCCCCACAAGGAAAATGTGCATCAGGTCCTTCCGCCTACAGAAGCCCTCCTTCCTCCTGCATCAGTGGCTCTCCAGAGTAATGCTGGCAACCGTTCTGGCAGCGCTTCCCCGTTCTCCTGTCCTGCATCCTGTGGGTGCGCCTCCTTTGAGGCTGTGGAGCTTGGCAGCTGTTGCGAAAAATGTGTGGCGGCAATGCCTGGGGAGACAGACAGACGGGCCCCCTCCGGATCCTTCCAGCTGGAGGACTCCGTTTCCGCCCAACAGACAGAGGGTCCCTGCAGCTCGTCCGTTCGTGGGAAAAGGCGCAAGGGGGGCAGAAGAGGGTGGGGGTCTTTTGGCTGGAGGGGCTCTGGTAGCTACGGGCTGCACAGCAGAGTTCTGTGTCATCCGATGAGCATGCAGGTTGATCGGGGGTCTGTGGGTCTGGCGGGGAGTTCTTTTTAAGCCCCTCCTGGGCTTCAGGTAGTGTCAGGCGGGGTTTTGTACACTTTTCACTGTGCCGGCTTCCTCTCCGGATTTCCTGGTTGCAGCAGGAGGGCCGGGCGCTACTCAGCAGCCATCTGCTCAATGTGGGTGCTAAGCAGCTTGTACTGCTCTGCAGAGGAGAGAGATCGTGAGAGTGAGGCTGCTGGGGATGATGGGACAGGCCAGCTTGGTGGCGGCAGCAGGGAGAAAGCGCCTTTCTCCAAGGAAGCGGGAAACGCCTCCGCCCCAAGGAAAGGGTTAGGGGTACCTCTAGGACAGCGGCAAAGGTGAATCGTGTCACCCGCTGTTACGTTTTTCTCACCAGGGCCTCGCATCCGCATGTTCCAACACAAGCGCTAAAACGGGCTGGGCTGCCTGTACGTAAAATGAACTGGCTGGGGATGCTGGGAGTTGTAGTCCAATGCATCCGGAGGAGATGAGGGTGGAGATGTCAGACAGACATTTCTGGCCCTCTCTCACCATGCTCAGAGCTGTGTTTCATCTAAGCAAAACCGCCCAACGTCCGCGTCAATCTAGACTGGAGAAAAAGCTGCCCCGCACCCCAGCGGCGATATCTTGCGGGCTTCGCCGCCACCAGATGCGGCCTCAGTGGGCATTCAAGGGGCCTCTGAGAAATGGGTGGGTGAGACAGTCGAGCCTCGCAGCAGCAACAACCCTGAGAGGTAGGCTGGACTGAGTCTTGCGCCTGCTGGCTTCAGAAAGCTTTCCCAGAAAGCCCGAACGTGCAGAACACATACTTAGCCTGGACTCTGCGTCCACATTTTGCTTCGGCCGTCATTTGCGGACAGAAGCGTTGGCTAACAGCTGCTCTCAGATGGCCCGTGCTGCAGGCGGCACCCCTTGCATTTGGGGTCCATGCCTCCCCACCCCACCAGCCCGAACATGCAGCTCCCCTCCCCTCCCTTTTCCTCCCCTCACCGCACCCAGCGGGAGCTGCAACCGGCTTCAGGAAACACGCCGGCAGCCTGGCGCAGGGGGCCTTACCTTCGTCCAGGTTGCCGATCACCGCTTGCTTCTTCAAGAAGTCATTGCAAAGCTTCTTGTTCAGCCCGAAGGCCAGCATGTTATGGGTGAAAGTGCTGCAGAGGTGGGGGGGGGGGGAGAGCAAAGAACATTTGAGGCGGGGGGGAAGCAGTGTTGCTTTGCTCTCAGAGACACCCCAGCTCAGTCCCCAGCGGAAAAACCGGGCCAGGGGCTGTGCTGCGGAAGACCCCTCCTTGCCCAAGAGCCCAAGTGCAGGTGCTGAACGGGCAGGAAGGCGGGCGGGCTGGCCTGACCTAACGCGGGGAGAGCTTGGCAAATCCGCGGGGCCGACAGCCAGGCAAGCCAGAACTTGCCCCGGATGCCCAAAGGGCAGAACCGCCCTGCTCTGGGCACATCATGGGAAGGCAAAGTCCCTGCAGAAGGACCACCGAGCCAGGGAAAGCCCGAGGCAGGAGAAAAGGAAGACCCAAGACGAGATGGCCAGGACTTGTAAGAGCTGAGCAGGGCCGCCAAGGGCCCACGTCTAAAACTGCTGGATGGCACACAACAATCACAAAACGCATCGGTCACGTCTCACGGGCACAACTAGCGTGCTCCTTTTTAGACACATTAACAACAACGTTGTTCAGTCGCAAAGTCGTGCCTGACCCCTCGCGACCCCATGGACAATGTTCCTCCAGGCCTTCCTGTCCTCCACCATCTCCCAGAGTCCACCCAAGCTCACGCCAACTGCCCCAGTGACCCCATCCAGCCACCTCATCCTCTGCCGCCCCCTCCTTCTTTTGCCATCTATTGTTCCCAGCATCAGGCTCTTCTCCAGGGAGTCCTTCCTTCTCATCAGGTGGCCAAAGTATTTGAGTTTCATCTTCAGGATCTGGCCTTCTAAAGAGCAGTCGGGGTTGATCTCCTCTAGGACTCACTGGTTTGATCACCTTGCGGTCCAAGGGACTCGCAGGAGTCTCCTCCAGCACCACAATTCAAAGGCCTCAATCCTTTGGCGCTCAGCCTTCCTTATGGTCCAGCTTTCACAGCCATACATTGCAACTGGGAAAACCATCGCCTTGACTATACGCACTTTTGTCGGCAGGGTGATGTCTCTGCTTTTTAGTATGCTGTCTAGATTTGCCATAGCTTTCCTCCCCAGGAGCAAGCGCCTTTTAATTTCTTGGCTGCAGACCCCGTCTGCGGTGATCTTGGAGCCCAAGAAAATAAAATCTATCACTACCCACATTTCTTCCCCATCTATTTGCCAGGAAGTGAGAGGACAACCACAACAAGCAACATTTAAAAGCCAGAAGCATTTCAGTGCTGGAAGCATTAATAGCAGGGTCTCCAACCTGATGCCCACGCTGAAGGAGGGGAGGGGGAGGGGGAGGGGAAGGGGCCTCTGGGCAGCATTGCTGCTCCGGCACTTACCCCAGCTGCCCAAAGGTTATATTCTCATTAAACCGAAGACTGTCGTCTCTTTCCTCTTGGGTCATGTGGCACCATTTTTCCCTGCAAATGCGGAAACAGATCTTGTAACGTGAAATTAAGAAGTGACCAGCACATGCCCCGGCGGCTTATCAGCATCTGCCCAGACTGAGAGAACTGAGGCGAGGGAGGAGGAAATGCCTCTCACCCCACACCCCGCCCCGTATCGGTGACGAAGCCATGAGTGAAACGCTTGGCCGAGTCAATGAGGTCTTCCTGTTGCCCATTTCAAACCAGAGCTGCGATTCCTGAAGTCAGAACAGTGCTGCAGCTTTTGCAAAAAAACGTAAAACCTCCCTTTCGTGTGGGGCATCTTTTAAACTTAAGCATCTCCCTTTCCTGTCTGCACTTGGGTCAGTTTGCATTTTGCCCCTCCTTCACCTGCCCAAAGTAGGGGCACAGCTATTCAGCCCCACTTTCCGTCACAGGAGACATTCTTATACCCACGTCTAGAACCTACATTTCATTTGCTCCGCAGCTGCAGGAAAACGGGGAGGGAAACACACCGCAAAGGGGTGTGAGGATGGAGGGCAGAGACGCACTTGTGAATCCTTAGCTTGAACTGAAAGCCTGCCCAGACCTTGCCTCCATGAAAGTTTTGTTTTTACATTTAAGCTATGCACCCCATTTAACACCCTGGAATGTTGCTGGGTTTGCCTGCTTGCACACTGACTCTGCCAGGCAGGATGCACTGTGCCCATTTGACAGAAGGGAAGGACTAAGGCTTTGAGCCGCCGCAATCCTGCATGTGCTTGGAAGGAAAAAGGCACGTTCGTCCCAGAATCCCTCCGGCCGGCAAGGTGGGCGGAGGTTTGCTGGGAACTGCAGAGCCTTTTTCGGTCTGCACACACGCTGGATCGCACACTAAGGCCGCCGAGCAGGAGTTGCATTCAAGTAGCTATCCTAGGTCACGATTTTCAGAGGAAAGTCTAAAAACGTTTTCAAGGAGGGAAAATAGGAAGCAGGCACTGGCTCAGAGTGAGCCCTGGTTAACCTGCTGCCCTTCACGGGGCGGAGGAATTTTGAGGCCTGCAAGATGGGCTTTTTGCTGAACCAGAGGGGTTTAGTGCTTCCCTCCCTAGGGGACCCCCCCCCCAAAACTCCCCATGGCAAGCAAACAGCTGTTCTGGACTAGCTGAGCTCTTTTCAGAAGTGCCCGAGAGAAGATTAGTAAAAACATGCCAAGTCAGAAATCAAGGACAGGGCCAGTTCTGGCTTCCTCCGGCCCAGGGCCCTCAAGCCAAGCTGGGGAGCCCGCAGAGGGGGTCTTGGAGTCCAGCGTGAGCAACGCGCAGCTATCGGAGATGGACGGAGCGCTGGAGAAGCACCCAGCCAGCTGGCCGGGGTGCCTGGAAAGCCCATTCCCAGGAGCCTCGACCATGTCTGCTAGCAGGCGCTTAATGAGCCGGTGGAGCAGTGGAAGAGGAAGTCCACGGGTGCCGGGAACAAGGTCGGCCCTAATCAGAACGGTGGCCGAGATCTCCTCCCGCCCCGACTTCCCTCTGGCGGCGTTGTTTGTTCCACTTCTTAAATCCTTCCTGTCCAGGTTTCCCACCCTTCAGGCTCTATTTCTCCCAGGGCTGCCGAGCATCCTCCATCCGAAGGAGCTGAGGTGGAGAACGGAGCCGTGGCGATTCCTCCTCCTCCACCTCTGCTCCCCTGCTCAGCTGCATCGTGTCTGGAGAGGAGACCCCGTCACAGTCAAGGTCACCTCGCTGCCCCTCGGATCCCGGGACCGTTGCTGGAAGGCAGCTAAGGAGCAGCGCCGGTGAGTGCATCCGGCACGGCAATCTTCCGTTCTGCAGAGCCTGTGCAGAGCCCGGGGATCAAGACTGCCAGGCCGGGGCTCCGGAGACCCGGGTTCTAGTCCTGACTCAGCCATGAAGCGCCTGGGGGCCAGTCGCAGGCTTGCAGCCTGATGCATCTCACGTGCATGTTGTGAGGATAAAATGGACTGTGTGAGCCCCCATGGCTTCCTTGCAGGAAGAAAAACCACGAAAAGAGGCAACAATTCCTGGTGGGGCTTCAAAAAGGTTCGCCAGGCTGCATGCTTCCAGACTCACACTGGGATACTCACTGGACTCCATTATGCAATGTGCATCGACAGTAAGCAGAATTGGGGCTTGGGAAAAATATGTGCTCAGGCCCCTTCTGGAGCATACAGAAGCATACGCTCCCCCATCAAAGCCATAACAACCTGATAAAAAGCACTGCAAGCAGAAAGCCAGCTCATCAGGGAAGGCTAAATGAGAGGCACACACCCCTTCTCTGTCACATCGGTTTTCTAAGTGCAGGGTCCTTTCTGAGCAAGGCTCAGCATGAGGAAACCCCACCTCCCGCCACTAGCAAACCAGGCAGGGATTCCACGATCGACCGGTGTTGCCACAGATCCACCCCTGAAAGCTTCTCCCCTTTGGCAAAATAAAAAACAATAGAGGAAGAAGCTGGGTGAAATGGTCAAGAGAAGGAACAGAAAAAAAGCTGGGGAAAGGGAGAGCAAGAGGAGGAGGAAGTCGATGGGAGAGAAGCGGCAGCAAAAGAAAACAGCAGAACACAACGGAAATGGGGGAATGGCGCCTCGAAGACGGAGAGGAGCCCCATGCGATGGAACAGGTGGAGGCAGGGGTTCCTGGAAGGGCCCCGAGGAGGGCCCCCAAATTGCTCTCGGCATAGGATGCGCCAAGAAGGGGCTGCTCGTATTTTCGCCTCCCAGCTGGGCCACAGAGGCCGAGGGGCGTCCCCGGACCCGGACGATTTCCGGCTGGCCTGGACGCTTAGCTGCCCGCGATTCGGCTCTCTCCTGCACAGGTGGGCAAGGCTACGCACTGCGACTGCCTTCCGCATCCTTGAGCAGTTGTGCACTTGCTCCCTGCGATTGTATCCCAGCAAAGGGCCGCAAATTCCATTGCTGCGAAGGCGGGAGGGGGATGTGCCCAAGAGCAGGGAGGGCCAGGCAGGACATGACACAGAGCAGGTATTGCAGCTCAGGTGGTGGAGGAGGAATGTGGGGGCGGGGAGGACACTTCAGCTCCAGCAGCGTCCTGCAGAGGCACGGGAAGCGAGCGGCAACGCAGGGGCACTCAAAGTGAAGCTCTTGCACCCACAACTCCTTTGCAGATCGGAAGGCGCTTGTATCCAAACCCTTGCCTCAGTTGCCAACATGGAAAATAGCGAGGGAACCCTCTTACTCCCTGCAAAGGCTGAAATGCCAAACGCACCGATTTGCATCACTAATCCAGTGGTAGGAATTCAGCTGCTGCTTTTCCCGGCTTAGGGGACGGCACTCGCCCCCTGCGTGGGCTTCTTTTGCAACAGCATCAAAAGGCGCCTGGAAGGATGATTTCGTCCTCCTGGCTTCACCTGCCCGGGTCTTTGGCCTGGGCAAAGAGGGGTTTTCAAGGTTCTTGAAGCAATGCAAAGCCTGCCAAAATTGCACACAAGAGAAGCGTGAAATGTGCAGCAACGCCTCCCGCAAAACAGCTTTTACTGTTGACTCAACTCAACGCAACACATCCAAGGGATCTGCAAGGAGCAGATCGCAGGCACAGAAAGACGTGCCAAGCGCGTTCCTAAGGGGCGGGCAGTAGAGAAGGGGCACCATTTCCATTGTCTGGCTCCCGTCTCGCTGTGCAGGCAAGGGCGGCAGGAGTTCCTGGGCCGGGTTGCTCCTCTTCTCTAGCACAGGGGCAGCAAAGCGGTCCCGACCTAAGGGCTGACCTCAGTTCTGGAGCAGCTGGGACAGAAGGGGTGGTGGGTCCCACCAAAGGCAGCGGGGCAGTGAATGACCAGATGACCCAAAACGTCAGCGTGTTTTAGCTTAAAGCTCTCAAGGCTACTAAGTCTCAGGGGCAACGCAGCCTCTTAGAATGGGGGGAAACTAGGCAAAAGCCAGGAAGCCACCAAAAGAGGACGTGAAAGGGGGCAAGGCCTACTGGGAGTCCCACAGGCCCAGACTGGGAGCCAGATGAGCAGAATTTGGCCCGTGGAACTGAAGTTCAACCTCCCCTGCTTCAGAAGGATCTCCAGCCCTCGGCTGAACAACGCAGCTGGCCAAGTTTTGGATCCAAACCGAGCCAGCGGCAAAACCGTGCAGAAAAAGTAAATGCAGACAGACACACCTTGTTTCTTCTTCCTCTCCAGTATTCCCGCTGGAGCGGCAGCAGAAAGGACCCACGGAAGGTTACATGTTAAGGACATGCAAGAAGGATGGATGGAGAGAAAGGAAGTGTGGAAGGATTGACCAGAGAGAGAGAGGGAGAGGGAGAGAAGAAAAAGATTACAGATGTCAAGAAAGAGAAGAGAGAAATCAGTTTTCTGACCCGCCTGTTCCCACAAAGCATCTATGAGAGTGGAAAGAAAGGGGAACTTTCCCTTACCCGAAGCTCCAGCCCACTGGTCCCCCCCAACTCTGATGTTGCTGCTGATGCTTGTTTTTGTCAACCCCTCTTTCTAGCACCCACAAAGAGCTGAGCTGAGTTGCCACACCCTGGCTGCTACGATCCAGCCAGCCCTCTGTCGATTTGGCACGGGGATACACTCCAGTCCAGTCATTTTGAAACGCAGGAGACAGCAGGAAAAGCAAGCACTGACACGTAAAATGAGGGGAGCTCTTCCCCCACGTGCGCCCCGTCCCCCCTCCAGCTTCCCGAGGCAGAATAAGGCCAAAACAGGCGACGCAAAGCCACGCTGCCTACCTGGTGGTGGGGGACCGTTTCCGCCGCTCACAATGGACTGCGTCGAAGAACGCGGCATTCCAAAACCTCAAGGTGTGCCTGCAAAATGGGGAAGGGAGGGAGGTTCATCGCCAGCCTGCAGCCCCAGTTCAGTCTGGAGACCCTCCTGGAAGCCACCCGCGAGCGCCGTGCAGGGCCACAGCACAGACGGAGCGTGCCAGCACATCTTTACGTCGGCTCCTGCAGCTGGCATTAAGCCTCAGGAGAGAGGGTGTCCACCTCTGAGAGCAGGGCGAGTCCTTCATGAGGCCCACCGAAAGACGGAGCAAGCAGGCCGAGGCCAGGGAAGAGGCACGGCAGCGATGGGAACAGCCAGGGAGGGCCCACAGGCCCGAGGCTCAGCTAAAGGGGCCAGGAGGGCCTTGTCCTCCCGACCTCCAGGGGCTGCCCAGGAAGACAACCAGCTGAAGACCACAAGGCCTTACCAAATGGGCTGCTGTTTCAGGTGCATATACAGATAAATCTTCTCCCCCGATTTTTCTTCCTCCTCCTCTGGACTGTACAAGGAGACTGGAAAGGGAAGAAACGCATCGTTGGGTCACCCAGCTGTGCTCCTTCCCACGCTCTCTGCCTTTGGAAGCCGAGGAAAAGCACACCGAGCACAGAGACGGACAGTGCTGCTCACCTGACTTCTGGATTCTCTGTTTTGACTTGTCCTCAGCGTCCCTAAAGACAAATGAACGAACAAACAGGTCCTGCTTGGTCAAGCAGACGAGGGACCCAAATGCCACTTGAAAGCAGTGGGTCTCCAACGCCAGCATATTGCAGATGCAAACCTTTCCTTAGCAGAAGCAGGGGAAAGAGCAAATACTTTAGAGTCAGCAGTAAGGGACCCCTGGGGAACGCCAAACGGGGACCCCCGGTGTGCCCCCTGCTCTGGATCTGCTCTCGGCCTTCTGCACAATGGCATTTCAGGTCCTGAACACGGATCTTGTGTTTTCCCTTAATTTTCCCTTCTCCAGGCTAAACCGCACAGCTCTTTCCACCGCTCCTCACAGGTTCTGCTCTGCACGATAGTTCCAGAAAGGGACTCACTCATTTTTCTTGGCCGTGGGACTCTTCAGTTTGCTCTCAAAGCTTCCGAAGAAGCCCTTCATGTTCTCTGTCTTCGCGGAGGTGTTCTTCAGGAGCCGTTCGGCAATGTCCTTCTTCTCGGCCAGCCAGCTGTTTGCGGACTTCAGGTAGGAGTCGATGCTTCCGGTGGCCTTCTCCTTGGCCTCTAAGGGCAGCGCCAGGGGCCTGCCTATCGGAAGGCAACACCACCAGTGAAAAAGGAGGCAGAAGGCTTGGCTCAGCCTTTACACTCGACCAAGGCCCGGCTTATTTTCCTCGAGGCAGAACCTGGCTTGTTTTCTTGCTCTTTCCAAATACGAAAAGCAAATTGGCAGCCCTCTGGCTTAGAGAGCCGCACAGGAAGATAGGGAGCAGATCTGGCTGATGTGTTTGGAAATGACCTACAGGGAGTGACCATTCAACAGGCTCACTGGCTCCCACCTGGGACAGTATGTTGTCTTGTTCCAAGCCTGGTTCCAATTTTTGCAAATTTGGAAATTCTGCTCTTCTGCAGAAAGGAAAACTCACTGTCCTGGGGTGATCCTATCCAAGATACTATCTGACTGAGGTTTTTGGTACTGCAACATGGTAGGCAAGTCATGAGTGGAGCTGGCTGCAGCCAGGGGTCAGACTAGATGGCCTGGGAGACCCCCTCTCACTCGCTCTGTTTCTAATATTGTTCTAAGCTCAGAACAAAGCGCAGCTCTTATTCGGCACCCTCAAAACATGCTTGTTAAGGGCAAGGAGCAGCAAAGCAAACAGGAGGTGAGGGTTTCGGCTGCTCCGACATTCTTCCTGCCACAGTTCCTGCTCCCAGAAAATTCCTCTCAGGAAGATGCTCCGGGCAGGACACCCTGCTTTGCTGAAGGCCAGCAGCTCGCCCCGATGTTTCCAACCGCACGGGGCACGGAGAAGAGGCACCTGGTGCGAGGGACCCGGGGCTTACCAATGTAGTAGAAAGTGAAGCACATGGTCATCAGGTTCTTGGCGGGGCTGAAATCGTCCATCTGGTAACACCTGGAAAGCGGAGGAGTTGAGGACGCGAGAGACGCTGAACACAGGCGCAGCACAGGGCCGCCGGCCCGCAGCCCATGCACCAAACCTGGGCTGCCCTGCGCCCGCTCCAATTCTGCCCTCAGCCCCACCCCCATGGGGCCGCAGCCTGCAGAACCTCTGAGCATGGGGTCTGTCCCGTGGGCTGGAAGGGGTCACGCTCCCCTGAGCTAGCGCTGCCCCTGGCGTGCAGGCCCCACCGGCGACAAGCAGCAGGCGTGGAAAGTCACTGCAAAGCCAGGCGCTCCGTCGGGGGCCTCTCCCTCCTCCGGACGGGCCCCCGAGCGCAGAGGCGCCTATCCGTCCGACCAGGCGAGGGGCCCCGGGAACACGGCTTTGCTCAGGCCAGCCGCTGGCCAAGAAGGCCTGCCGGGGGGGCGGGGGGTGAGCCTCCACAGCAGCCTTCCTCAGCCACAGGCCCTGCGGAGCGTCTGGGGGGCAAGTCCCAGTACTGCTGAGGCCGGGGATGATGGGAGTTCTACTTTGCAGCAACTGGCTGAGGAAGGGGGCTTTAAGGACATCATATCTGTGTGCAGGAGGTATCTGACCCCTGTGCCAAAGGCACCAGGCCCCTCCCAGGGTCCAAGGAAAGCCGGCTTGGAGGCAAAGGACCTTCCCACCCCAGTCGTGGGCTGTGCCAGTTCGGGGAGACAAAAGGCAGCCCCACTGCCTCCAAGGGGCCACGAACAGGGCCGCCCTTCCAGCCCAAGGGGGTAAATGCAGGTGTGGGGAAGCTGCTGGCGTGGGGGGGCCGCATCCCAGCGATGGGCAAAGGTGATGGCAAACACGGCGGCCCAAGCACCCGCTTGCCTGGGGGAGGCAGGCAGGGCAAAGGGACGGGGTGGGCCGCCAAGCGGAGCCAGGAGGGGGCGCCAAGGGCCCCCAGGGGCCCACCCCCGTCTCCACTTGTACGCACACGTACCCAACAGGATGCCCCGCACACTCCGTAGGCCTTCTGCCTGGAGAGGACTGAGGCTTAAAGGTGCGGCTCCCGCTAGGTCCCCATTCCCACACCCGGCCTTACTTACTCGAACAGGACCACCGCGAAGGACTGCACCAGGCGGTAGAAGGTTTGCTCCGACACGCACTTGGAGTTGCAGCGCTGCAAGGACACGTGGGCAGGAGACCCGTCAGGCCGTTCCCAGATGAGCCTGAAAGAGCCGTCTGCTGCGGAGCGAAGTCGGCCCCCCTGCTCTCCCGTCGGGCACCCCAGGCCGAGAGCGGCGGCCGCCCCAGGCAGCTCCCATTCAGGCTGTCTGATTTCCTGCGCCCTTCCCCCCATGGTGGACACACAGTTTTTGGCTAAGTATCTGCGCAGCGCTATTTAAAAGGGGGGCGTCACTCCATTTTGGAACCCGCCCCATGGAGCCAGCTTTGCGACTGAGGCCAGGGCCAGCCAATCCGCCCCACACACAGCCGGGGGGCGGGGAGCGTAGCTCAGGGCCCACGAGAAAGGCCAGCCGACCAGCGCCGTGCACAGCCCTGCAATGGGAAGCGGGGAGGCAGCGGGGACAACGGCCGGCCACACAGCCCGGTGCGGAGAAGAGGAAGCAGCTCTGCCAGCGGGAAAATGCACGGCCAGTCGCTACGGAAAGAGCACCAGGGAGAGGGCAAACCCAGCTCTGGCTCGAGGGGGCAGTTTTCTCCTGAGCTTTACCCGACGGGCATGCAAAGGTGGGTGGGACACATCATTCCGTGGAGAAACACAAGAACGCACGGGTATTTTTCGTGTTCCCTACAATTCCCTGCGCATGCTGGCAGAGCTGCCTTCTCCAGGTTCATACAAGCAGTGAACCTCAAGACGTCTCAAGACGAGTCGGGGGAGCAGCCAGGAGAAAGAGGGCCCCCGAGAACACAACCCTGCGTCACCCGGCCCCGGCCCTCACCTGCGCGCTCACGTATCTGGCAAACCACTCCCTGCCTTTCGCGTTCTCCCCGCTGCACAGCTCCCCAAACTTGGCCTTCTCCTCTTGGTCGAATTCCTCTCTGGAACCACAAACACAAAAAGAACACAATCACCCCGGTGCATGAAGGTGTGTGCTGGTGTTGCGTGGCAGTTGGGCGGGCAAACTGGCAGGTCCCCAGGGTCCGTCCTGCCACAGGTGTGACCCACCAGGTGAGCTTGGCAGCATACCTCTTCTCTCAGTCTCACCCTCTCCCAGTAAGCAATACGGTTAAGAACAACAAGAATATTGTGTTGTTCAACACACACAGTTTGCCAGGCATTTCAGCAACACCACCGGGTGCCGTACAATGCCAAGAATCTGCCCCACGGAGCTCACTTGGAGTCTAATTTAGGAAACCGTCACTGCCGTGGCACAGATTGCGAAGACAGCGTCGGAATTCGAGATGTGCCCCGAGCTGGAGAGATGCGTCAAGATGCAAACTATTTCGGACACCATCAAGACATAGATGCTGATGCCTGGCACTGAAACACACGGCTGGCCCCTCAAGTTCTGTCCAGGAACTGAGCCCAAGACCTTCACCCTACGGACTGCACGCTTCCCCGCTGCACGATGGCCCTTCCCCGCGGTTTCACTAGCTCCAAACTGGGGCGGGGGAGCCCTGCCAAGGGCCAGCTGTGTGGTGAGTGGACACCTGCAGGGGAGTTGCTCCCCTTGCGTGAACATGGAGGAGCTGCGTGTGGACATGGGCCCCTCTGCTCGGAGAAGTGAATTCCAGGAGAAGGAGAGCCGTCGGAGGGTTCCTCTTTCTCCCGCCTCCCTCGCACCCGAGGCTTCGAGAAGAGCAGGTGCGATGTCTCCCCCTCAAGCTGGGAAGGACCTTCCACTCTGATCTGCCTGCCTCGAAACCGACTGAGGAAACAAGGCGACTCAACCACCCCCGTGGCTGAATTCTGAATGGCGAAGTGGAGATGCATCCCAGCTCTTTCCCTGCAATTCTCGCATTGGGCAAGCGACCGGCACCGATAAATCGTCCTTGCTCTGGCCTTCCCCTCTTTTTGCAGGTGGAATTTGAACCACCTCTCAGGGAAGGCTACCAAGGAGGAAATACCAGTCGCCCACAGAACATTCCCTCCCGGTCCGGAACCCAGGCCATGGGCAGAGAGGGAGATGTGAACCCACTTTCCCCGGTGTTGACCTCTAGCCGTGCTCCCTCGGCCCCCGGTGACTCACAGCAGAGCCACTTAATTTGATGGAATCCTTCCCATCGGTATCTGAGTCAAAAACAGGCCACTTCGGCCGAATCCTCCGCACGACAGAGCCCAGAAGCCTCCAAGCAGGAATCGCTGCGCCAAAAAAAGCAGCATGACTCAGCCGGGGAGAGACGGCTCTGCTCACGAGCGCTTCTGCTCCACTGGCGCGGCCAGGGAGGAAGGGGCTCGCCACTCCTCCGGGGGGAGGCTGGCCCACGGAGAGCAGCCCACGGCCTCACCACGCTGCTGTGACAACCGACAGCGAGCGATGGGGCGTTTAATTCCATGCAGGAATTCATCTGTTCCGTTCTCAGATGCTCGACTGCAAAAGGTTTTGCAGCTGTTTCAGTTGCTTGAATGTTACGATTGCTGTAACAACAGTAGCATCTCAGATCATCAAAATCTCAGGTGTACAAGGATATCTCTCATAGATAACCACAACCATGGAAATCAGAATGAAAAACCCGTGGGGTTCAGTCCCTGTATGAGGCCAAAAGCATGCGAATGTTTCTGAGCTCTCCAGAACTTCTGCCTGGCAAGTTGGTCGAAACAGCAGGGGGAGGGAGAGAACGGTCTGCATAAGCCAAGTGCCCTTAGGATGCGGTGGAGGAGGAGGCACAGAAATCTCCCCATTTCTGTGCCCCCAAGGACAGGGGTGCAGAACTCCAAGGCGGGGGCCCAGTCTGGTCCTCCAAGGACCCCCAGATGGCTTGGCCTCTTTTCCCCAGCTCCATCCTCCAACCATTCTCTGCGGTGTGGCCCCAAGTCCTTCTCAGAGGCCAGATTTGTTCCTTGGGCCAGCGGGGACTTTGTGCGCAGGACCACAGGGGCCACGGAGGCGCCCACCCTGCTCGACCCTCCCTTCCGAAAACGCAGCTCGCAGCTGCTTCTGCAAACTGCCTCCATCTGCAGCCTGCCCGGCAGGTCTCTCAGCCTCATCTTTCAAACGAGCTGCTCCAGAGGAAAGGCTCGCTGTGGGACTGCAAGAGAAACCTTGCAGGCGGCAGGCGCTCCGCCACCAGAGCAGAGCGGCGCCTCCTCGCCTCACCGCCGCGGCCCCGTCAGGCCCAGTCACGTCTCTTCAGCTGCGGAGAAGCCAGCCCGAGATCGGCGCATGCCTCTGGCGGCCGGGGTCACGCAGCTGGCAGCACGCGGACTCGGAAACCAGCCTCCCCTCGCTCGCCCTCTGCGAGAGCCCGTCGCCTTCTGCCGCTGGGAAATCCGGACCAGGCCCCCGGCGGGTTTGGGGCAAGGAAAAGGGGCCCCGCTCCGGCCGGTGTGGACCGCTGGGTTTTGTGGGGCTGTTCCCAGGCGCAGCCCCGAAACAGCAAAAGGAAATGGGGTGGGGGGATGGGGGGGACGGACACACGCCACTTCCCGCTGCACCCATGCTAGCAGCCTGCCCCCAAAGGGAGCGAGAGTCCCCCAGGCAGAGCAAGGAGAAGGGGAGATGGCTTTGGGGTGGGGGCAAGCGACCGAGCCACGGAGGGGGAAGCCCAGCGTGGGGACGGCGATTCTTCGTCCGTCGGCGAGGTCGCCGGAGCCATGTTCAAATTCCCCTGGGACTGCGGCCAAGCATGCAGCAGCCGCTTTGCTGGACTGGGCCAGGTGCCTGTCCTTCTCGTAGACAAGGCCCCATTCACTTTCAGGGGCTTTATCTGGAGAAAGCCACGGCTAAGGGGTAGTCCGTGCTGAAAGACCCGGGTGCAAGCCCAGCCTCTCCGGGCAGGGCAAGAAAAGGGAACTGCCTCCAGTTCCGGAGAGACTTTGCTGTGCATCCAGTCCTGTCGATGGGTAACATGAAAAAGCAGATTAAAAAGAGATGCTGAATTAAAACCTGACAAAAATAAATGAAAACATGTGAGTGAGTGAGAGATGCAGAGCGACACAAAGCTCTGACCTGTGTCCGGATCCTCTCCCTGCGACCAGGCTGCCTCCCCAAGGCAGAAAAACGGCCCTTGGGGAAGGGGGGGCATTCTGGGGAGTGGGTGGAGGGGGCAGCGGCCCGGCCTCCTTCCCTCCCGGTCTGCCGTGCCACAGCCAGGGGGCCGAAGCCAGCCACGCAGCTGGCCGGGAAGGCAGAGGCCCGGGGAAGCCGCGACTGCCACCCTCCGCCACCCTCTGGCCTGCCCCCTGAAAGCGAGGCGCCCCTGGGACAGATGCAGAAGGGGGTGCAGCGCCCACGCCCGTGCCCACGGGCCCGCTCACCCGCCGGCGAAGATCTTCTCCACATACTGCCGGATGAACTCGCGCTGCTGCGCCGTCGCCTCGTCCTTGGCCGACTCCGTGCTCTGGTTGGACGAGTAGGACTCCGAGGAGGAGCGGCGGCGGCTGTTCCAGCTGTGGTGGGTGGGCGAGTCCGTCGTGTCGTTCTCGCTGTCGGCGGACTCCGTGGCATCGCTCTCCTCCGCCACGGGGGCCCCGCCGTCCTTCAGGGGGCCCAGCAACCCGTTGCTGCTGGCGGCAAGAGGAGCCGTGGGGGCGGAGTCGGAGGTGTCCGTCATGGACGGCTCGGAGTCAAAGTCAATGAGGTTGCCCACCGGGACGTCAACGGCCTCCATGGCTCCAGGAAAGGCGAGGGAAGAACACCATGCGCGGAGAGCCGGGGCGCGTCCCTCAGATCCCTGTTTGGGAGACACAGAGGCCGTGAGAAGGTGCGTAATGCCAAGGGACTGGTCTGTTTCTCACCAAGCATCGTTCTGTCCCAGTCTCTCCAGGCATCTGCAAAAAAAGCCACACAGAGACCGACTTGTTATAAATAATGATCTGTGTAACACCAGAGTATTTCAGGAGCCAGATGTGTGCTCACTATCCCAGAAGGGCAGCCGGGGTACCTGCAGCATCTTTTTCCAGAGGAGCCTCCACAGAACTACCTGCTGATATAATGCCCACATGGTGGGCATGTCGTGAGCGGAGCCGGGGGTCAGACTAGATGGCCCGGGAGACCCATTCTGACCCGCTCTGTTTCTATGTGAAGTCCTCACTCAGTCGCAACACAGGAGGTGGGTTTTCGCCTTCCTATTTAGTAGTCTCAGTTTTTCAGCTGCCAAAAGAATGCCAAGAATCCATTTTACTCTGACCGTTTGTTAATTTCCAAGAGGCAGATAAACAGTTTTAAGAGTAGCTATCCCACAGAATATTAAAGATCGCTCTAGTGCAAATGTATTGCCGCCACAGCCTGCTCCCAGACAGAACCGGGGACTGTAGAAACACCTATTTAAAGATGCAATAGCTGCTTTGCGCTGCCAAGAATCGGCTGAAAAAGACACTCACTTATTAAAGAGTCATCGCTCTGCCGAACAGACACAAAGCCAGGTTTTTGCTGAATCAGGAGCAACTGAAGATCCCCAGATGTGACAGGTAAATGCCAAAGCAGAGGGAGGCCAATCAAGCATTGTGTGGTGGCGGAAACGGTAAGTCAGAACGGCTCTCCCAGGCCATCTAGTCTGACCCCCGAATTCCCAAATATACTCACAAGTCTAAAGAGACCGGGGAGCCCAGCTTCACTCCAGTGCCGAATTCCATACCATGGCACAACTTCAGTTTAGTTTCAAATGCGAAGTTTCCAGTCCTTAAGGGCAATGCCTGGTGATATCTCAGCAGAAATTCAAATACGACTCCTGCCCAGACTGGTCCGTGAACACACAAATGAGAAGGCAGAATCTGGGAGGCCAGAATGGACCGCGGTGGCTCACCAAAGTCGGGAGGGACACATTTTTATTGCTCAGTTATTTAAAACCCTCTGTCCCTGCAAGCAGAACACTCGCTGCAGCAGAGTTTGGCCTGGGAGAACACATCAAACCCCGAAACGACAAGATGAAAAACAGGGTTGTGTTTTATATGGGGGAGCACTGCAAAAAACCTCCCCCTTAGAATGGCTGCCAAGGGAAGCAGGCAGAGGCTCTACTGCACTTGAGCACGGTGGTGGTGGTGGGGGGGGGCCTGGGGAAGACGGCGGGACACGGACCCCCACCGGAATCTCAGCTTGACAGGCAAGCCCTTCCCAGAAGGTCTGGCACCAACGGGGCATTTGGCCACGTGGCAAATGCCATTACGGGAGGAGTTTCTTTTCGAAACCACCCTCTGGGGGCCAGCAAAATTATTGGCTTAATGCAGCCTGTCTGCGTCCATAAAACACTCAAGCGCAGCTTTTTAAAGATGGCCTCTCAGTAAGGAGCCATCGTTTTACTTGCCGTTTCTTGGTTTTGTTTTTCAAGGGGATAATTGCTGCTATATATTTCGATTTTTTTCAGGCACCCTCCCAAGGCAAGACAATGGTTCTCAAAGGAGCCACTGGCTGTGCTTTCAGAAAACCTTCCACTTCTCCAGGCAGTGCTCCCTAAATCTCTTGTGATTGATCAGTTCTTGGGTGGATCCCAAGCCCCGGAGGCATTCCGGCCCAAGAGATCCCTTCCAGGCTCAGGGCCTTGTGCTTTCCTCACCCTACAGACCCTTTTTGGACTTCAGCCTCCATGGGTTCCAGCCAACCTGGACCACAGCCGGGAACTCTGGGAGTTGTAGTCCAGGAGATCCAGGGGGAACCCGGCTGGGGAAGGCGACTGAAGATGACCAAGAAGTTCCATCAGCAACTGTTCACCACTCTGGCTGCAAAAAGCCTCCATAGTCGGGCGCAGTGTACCCACGCATGCCAGGAAGGAGAACTCTGCTCTGGACTTGCCAGAAGGCTGGTCTCATCCCCAGAGGCTGAGTGCCGGACTTTCCATCTTACAAAAGCAATCTTACAAACCTGCAAGATGCTGGGGCCTGGAATCCAGCCAATATCCAGGCCAGCCGCCAAGGACACCTTTCCATGGCCTGCGCTGGGTGGCCCAGCGCAGAAGGAGCCTTTGCAGACCCTGGCAGCACCAGGGAGAGCCAGTGCGGCGCAGCTGGAGAGGCAGTGTGGTGTAGTGGTTAAGAGCATGGGACTGGGACTCAGGTGATCCGAGTTTGAATCCCCACTCAGCTGTGGAGCCACCTGGGTGAATTTGGGCCAGTCATAGGCTCTCGGCCCAACCTACCTCACAGGGCTGTTGTTGCTGTGGGGATAAGATGGAGGAGGAGAATGATGTCAGCTGCCTTGAGCCCTTTGTAGGAAAAAGGCAGGATATAAATCGACAAATAAATAAATAAAATAAATAAATAGACCGTTGCCTTCTTAGGTCCCAAAATGGAACTGCCCCCCGTTCCAGGACAGGTGCAGGTCCCCTCTGGAAACACAGGCGCTGTGGTTTTCGCGTCCTTGGACTACGTCTCCCATCATTTCCAGCCAGCAGGGCCAATGGCTGCCCAAAGGAAACTCTGGTTCAAAAGGCTTTGGACGTCACCGCCCGGTGTCTGGACTTCTCGTCAGGTTGGTACCAACAAGGCAAAATCAGAAGTGACTTATTCCTAAATGGAAACCGATGTCACCTGCTGGAAGAACAAATTGGCCCCAAGCAAGAAGACTTCAATATCAGTACTCCAAGGACCACATGCCCCTGCAAGCATCTCTCATAGCAGAAGAAGAAAGCCTGGTCTACACCTGAGACAAAATTAGACAATTTCGTCCTCTCAACCATGTTCAGACTTTATCACCTCAAACTGCTGGAAGGAAGTGGGAAAATCACATTTTTAATAATCCCAGGTAACAGCAAAGTAAAAATAAACCAGCAGGCAGAGAGACTGAAAATGGGGCAGAAGATTTGGAGCTGGGCTTCTGGGCTTGCGTCACTTGCAGGAAATCTTCAACATGGAAGGAAAGCGTTCAGAAATGGCCCGCCCCACAGCCAGTTCGCCCCATGGGGAGACCACTGGCGGTGCATCACCATGCTGGGCCTTCAGAGATGCTGCTCATCCCAAAGGGAGGACCCCAAAGCCCCCATCATCACAGAAGCACCAGCATGGCCAGCAGAAAGGCTGACGGAGGGGCAAGTCCAGAAGTGGAAAAAATGCTCCAAAAGATCCAAAGGAGGTGTTTCTGTACAGCCTCAGAAAGCTGCGTTTCACCTCCCTGCTTCCGCTTTCTCGGTCGAGACTCCATGGGCATATGGGCACGAGCCAAAACATTAACGGATCCTCTTTCCAGCATCCATCCATCCATCTCCTGTTGCCTTCTCCAACTTGAAACCTGGTGTCCCCCAGATGTGGCAGGGTAGGGGATCATGGGAGTTGAGATCAAATAACTGTGAAGGGCAGGGAGTCGGGAAAACAGTTCTATTGGATACTGAAGTTTTGGCTGATCAGGGGAGCGTCTCTCTCTCTCTCTCTCTCTCTCTCTCTCTCTCTCTCTCTCTCTCTCTCTCACACACACACACACACACACACACACACACACACACAGCCTCTCTCTGAGAAGCTAACATTATTCCCCTCCCCAGTCAAAAGCAGCACATTATTTTCCCAGCTGGACTCCGGACTCTTCCTCCCTCTGCCTGGCAGGCCCGCCATTCCCCCTTTCTCTGCAACGTGCCCTCATTACCAATAATTACACCCCTTTGCCTGAAAGGCGAGAGCAAGCGGCAAAGACACCTGCAGCCGCTCGTGTCAGGACCCTGTGATTTGCTCTTGACGAGATGAGCTTTCCGGGCCCTCCTTCAACATGCAAAGCTGCGAGGAGGATGAATCCAGCCGTTTCCACAGGGGATGGAAGGGATGCACGTCAAACCCACTGACTCCCCGCACCCCCGCTGACCCCAGAAAGCGGCGCTTGCACGCCCAACGCACCCCCAGGCTCCCCTCCCTTGGGCAGCTCACACGCTCGACTGCAGGGCAGGAAAACAGAAGCCCCCCCCCCCCCGCTTTGTACAGTGCAAGGAGGGACAAGAGGCCCGCCCCGAAGGTGCAGTGGGGCAGCCCAGCCTTCTGCTGACAGCGGGCACTTCAAGGACCCTAAAAAATCAGCAGCCTCAAAGGGAGCGTGGCCAAAGGGCCAATGCACATCCAAAGGCAAAATGCAGAGCCAACGCATCCACGAGAAAGTTCCACCGAAGAGCAGAGTTCGCCAAAGAGAGAAAAACAAAGCAGTAGAGGATTTGAAGTGGTTGGAAGATCTGTTGTATATACTGAGCATTTCTTTTTTCTGAAACTCTCATACAGTGTCGAAAGATAGAAAGATGGGTTGTATTTCTATAGATTCCCTTGGCAACTTCGTTGATTTTCGCTTGCTTTGTTCATTTTAGTTTGTTCTCTTTCGCATTTTTTGGGAATTTGCTTATGTTAAGAAAATATAAAAAATAAAAACAAAGAAAGAAAGCTCAACTGAAGATAGTACATAAAGGAGAGAAACCGGGACTGAAGGATGGAGAAAGTAGAGAAGCCATGAATAATTATGAATACCCACATATACTACAGGAGGAGATTCCTTACAGCAGTTCTTTTATATTGGTTTGTTTTCCTTTACATCAAAGGGACCAGTAGTGGAGAGAGAAACGGGTGCAAGAGTAGCAAAAACAGCAACGCACATGAAAGGGAAGGACCTTCACCCAGGCACAAACTTTGTGGATCATCGCATCTCACAAACTGGACTCCAGTGCCTGCAATTTTGTGCCAAAATAAATCCTGGGCCCATCTTTAGGGTACCACAAGATTCCTTCTGCTTCCTTAACCCTGAAGAGTTGGGTACCAAGACAATTTATTCAACTAGCAAAAAGCAGACAACTCCTGCAAAAGGCTCCTTGCAATGCTTAACATGCAAAATCATGAAAGTTATTCCGCTTTTCTTTAATCTTCCTGCACATGGC